GGATCCGTTGACCAACAGCACTCTACACACCCTCAGGAACAAGGGAATGGAAGCGAATGCATACCTCGCATACATCGTGCAGAATTACGACAACCTGCCTTCAACAATCGCGTTCATTCATCCACACAAGGACGGCTATCCGATTGCATGGCATACCGACAACCAAGAGCATTCCAACGTCGTCTCTCTGCAAAGTCTCAACATCAACTTCATCCAGAGCAACGGCTACGCGAATCTGCGTTGCGTCAACGATCCCGGCTGTCCGCACGAAGTGATGCCGTTCCGAGATCCGCCTGAGGAGCATCGAACAATCGAAGCAGCAATGCCGGACGCGTGGCGGGACTTGTTCAACAACACGGACGTACCGCATATCCTGGCGACGCCTTGCTGCGCGCAGTTTGCCGTATCGAGCGAGCAGGTACGGAAGCGGTCGCTGGACGAGTACCAAAAGTATTACACGTGGCTGATGGAGACTCCGCTGAAGGACGAGACAAGCGGGCGGGTTTTCGAGTACCTTTGGCACATTCTGTTTGGGCAGGAGCCCGTTTAGTAAGTACTGGATCGATCGAAGTCGCGTTGCGCCGCTGCTAACGTGAACCAGCTGCCCCGCATATGAGAAGTGCTATTGCGACGTGTATAACAGATGTTGAATACGCACCTTTCCGTGGGTAGTGCAAGAAGAAGTCAAGGTTGACGTGAGATCTCTGGCAGGCAGGCACCGGAGTTCTTCGTCTGGCTTTCGCAGTCGCGTCGCCGAGCCTGCCCGAAGATCCCCCACACCAGCTGTCTAAACTGAAGCTCACGATACCAATATGAGCCGCGACATTTCCGGTCGAGTTGCTGATACAGCGCTCTGTGCAAAAATAAAGTCTCAAGTCGACGCTGCGACAGCTTCACGCCCCGTCATGGAACGTCGTTCCCTTCCATGCCATGGGCAAAAATCATGGCAAAAACATACAACAGCGGGGATTCGCTAGTGGTCACCCACCTAACTACTAATCCGCCGGTATCATGCTTGTATATGGCTGAGCGGACGGGAAGCCTAATTCTCATGATCCTATGGTCGTATGTGAAGGAATAGACGGTTTAGCGAATTATATACTCATTGCAAACCGAGGATACGGCAAGCGAATGGGAATGACCTCAGCCAGGTTACCGGCCTCATCATGATGCTATTGACCAGAGCGCGAACTCTGACGATAATCGGGCCTCATCTGGAATGAGATCTGAGGGGGTGTCGCAGGCCAAGCGCTGTCGGAAACCTTGGTACTATTAACGCCGGGCGATGACCTTCATCTAAGCTCAGCTAGGAAGCTACGAACTATAAAATACATACACTCCCTTCCAGCTACTCTTTCTACAATATTCGCACCGAACCGCGCGACACATATACAACGGGGCGTTCTACAATTCAGGCTAGCTCTGCCTCAATAACACTTTCTACGGAGTGAGGTGGTCTCCAAATCTTGAGCACCTTCAATCCCGCACTCTCCACCAGCGCCCGCCATTCAGCCTCTGTCCTCTCCTTCGCACCAAGGCACGCCATCATGGTGATATCGGACGTTGTCACACGAGCGAGCGGCTTCACAGAGCTAACCAAGCTTTCGTGAATGAGAAGCTTCGAGTACCCGGGTTCCATAGCTTCGGCAAGGTGAGAAAGGATCTGCTTCGCCTTCGTGTCTTCCCAGTCGTGCAGCACGTTGTGCATGAAGTAGGCACGGGCACCTTGCACGGGCTGTGGTTCAAAAAAGTCATGAGGGTGGATGGAGATGGTGTCGTCAATAGTCAACTCCTTGAGAATATCAGGAAGGTCTTGGAGCACAAGACTGCCCTCAGGGATATCAGGGTGGCGCAGATGGAATTTGGTCAGATCGTGGCCCTTGCTACCACCGACATCGACGACAAGAGGCCGGTCAGGCTTGGACTCTTTCACAAGAGTCTCAGTTGGGTATACATCAACCCAGGGTGTTAAGTTATGCTTGGAGTGACTCTCCATGGCATCGTTGAATTCCCTTGCGGCGGCAGGGTTCGCGCCAAGGGACTGAAACAGATTTTCATCTGAGCCTCTCATGAACTGCCAGTTGCCGTCGTTGGGGTTAGTAGGGACCTTGTATCCCGTCTTCTTGAGGTAGGCTGGCAGAGTCCTGAACATGGGGGAATTGACGAAGCCGTAGAATTCACCGTAGACGTTGGCGAGAGCCTGATCCTCAGCGAGAGCGCGTACCCACGGTGTAGGCTTATAGGTGTCCTCGTCGGTTTCGATGACGAGATTCTGCCCAGAAATTTGCCGAACCATGCGTCCTGCATTGCCGTCAGAATGCTTATTATAGGTTAAGCAGAGCAGACATGGAACCTACGAATAAGCACTACATCGACACCCGTTAATTCGGCCAGTTCCGCGCAAGTCTTCTCCCCGCCTCCGATCTCGATCCATTTGCTGAAGACACCCGCGTCAATTAACGTCTTGACGCATGCATTGGTGGCCGGGTTGACCCAGCAGTGCTGCCAAACAATGTCCCACGGCTTCTGTACTTTGCTCAAGGCCAGGGTCAGCGCGTCTAAGGCCCGGACGCGCTCTGCTTCGTTACCGAAGGAGTTCGCGTCGAGGCCCTCCAGGGCTCCGATAATTTGGTCTGCTGATGCCATGTTGGAAATGGGATATAACTTTGTGGGAAAGATGCAGGAACAACGGGAACGACACGCGGTCTACTATTTGACAAAGAGTAACGTTGTTATCTACCGTAAATCCTGGCCATATCTACCGGTTGACTGGAGCTTTCCAAATACTGTAGTAGTTAGCAAGTTACTCGTAACAGATAAGCGCGTACGAGGATCCATTTTTCCTCTATATACTTTCCTGATACGTAAACTGTCCTCGAGGACACGTGATGTGACCAAGCTTCTATGGAGTAATTAGTCCCGAATTACTTCGAATCAGCCGCACGATTTGATGCCATGTGGGTTGAAATGGTTAGCATTGATCAGCGGAGGACACGATATCCGAGATTTGAGTGAGCAAGGATGTCTCAGGGGCAGACCCACTTGTCGGGCCACCCCCAACTTCTCACGCCATCCTTGGCATGTGGTGCTTGGCATGCAGCCCCGCGAACTCGTGCGAGCGATCTTGACAAGACCTACCGGTCGATGATTATTGTTGCAGTTGAACTTTGGCGCTGCTCAAGAGTCTGTATTAACCTCAGTCTTACAGTTCCTCGTCTTTATAACATTACCCCAACAACATCAAAGCCTGCCCAATCAGATCGTCACCATGACCCTGCTGCCCTATCGCGCGCGTAGATGCTCAGAGGAAGTACTAACCCCCACACTGATACCAAGCTACGTGTCACGATCGTCAGTTGGCTTCGCCCATCGGTCACCCTTTGCGCTCGTCGTCACGTTAAACTCAAGTGTCTTGTGGATCTGGTCCGCGCCGTGGTAAACGAGCGGGATGTCGTCGATGCTTTCACCTGCGTGGCTCGATGCCCTCTCCTCGTCATCCAACTGATGCCTTCGAAGTTTTTCCCATCTTCCGCTGGTGCTGGATAGCCCTCGGTGGGTGGCGCTGCTGCGTTGTCCCTGGCTGGTGGTCCTACTGCCATTGCCACTGCCACTGAGAGTCCGAACCTTGCCTCTGACCAAGCGGAAGAGCGGGCCCAGTGTGGGCAAAGAGGAGCATACCACGAGAATGCAACCCTCTCCTAGGCCGAGTATATCGAGAAGCGGGACTGGGTCTAATGAAGTTAGTTCTGTGCTGAGAAATATGTGGGTGGCATAACTCACAAGTTGGGTTCTCAGCCAGTACTACAAAAATTTCCCCAAAGATTGTGAGTTTGTAGATGGTGAGGATGAAGGCCAGTATAGTGAGGCCCAGCGCGATCGAGACCAGGATGCGGTTCTTGAGTGGCATGTTGAGGCGCATAATGAATGGAATCGGGTACACGGCGAAGAAAACGTCTAGGAAGGCAGAGTAGGCCGAAGTGAAATAGCCCAAATCTGACATGACTTTAGTACTGGCACATTTCCCGCCCGGTATAGTTCTGTTCCAGCCGAACTCGACCGGATCGCATTGCTTGTACCACCAAATCGAGGTAGCCAGTATACAGGCCTGGGAGCTGAGCGCGAGGCCCCAGAATAGTATCGTCGTTTTGAGGCCGTAGTTCAGAATGCGCTTGAGAATAGCGATGATGGCGAATTTGGGTAGCGAAAATGTCCATATCAGTACCGAACTGATGATTACATTCCACTTGAGAGCTCGCGGTATCAACGGGGGATCGATATCCTCCATTCTCCGTCCGAGACCGTACTGTGTGCCGATCGAGATTAGGATGCAGGTGACAAGCATCACAACGACGCAGAATACGGTGATATAGTCGTCCATTCCAAGGCCCCCGCCTTTGCTGGACATGCGAGTGCCGACTCTCAACGCCACGAAGACTGCAAGACAGTTAGCTGCCATTCGGCGCAACATAATAGGGCTACTCGCCAGCTGTGACTGCGAACATGGACCAGCAAGCCCTATCAGCGATGAAGCCATAGTCTTCCACGTCCCACAATCCCATGATGGTGATGATTGGTGTTGCAAAGGTTTGCAGAATGTTAGACGAACTTTAGGCCCTCCGGGCGCGATACATAAAGTGGGCTCATTGTTAGAGACACTGCCGTGGGATGCGGCGTGGCATGCCGCGCAGGATGTGTCTCATGTAACAGTTGGGATCCTTCGCTAGCCCCATGAAGCATCGATCTTTGCCACATAGTTGGCTTGTGTTATTTAAATTATCAATGATTGCCGTGCACAGAGGGTTGGCAGGTGATCGGAAACTCCTACAGGGGAAAATAGCTGGAAAATCACTTCGTACGGCATAATGACGGAAGATGTTGAATGACTTAAGCGAATCAAAACACACCGATCGCCAGCTGCCTTCCAGAAAGGTCAAAGGATTCCTACCCCAGGAGTTCCCGAAGTCCTGGCGAGACTCCGTATCAGCCCTGCGGTTCATGACTCATTTAACCGACATCCAGCTCTTTTCCAGAACAAGAGCAACATGTGACAGCATCTTCTTGTTTGCGCGCTCGTCTTGTGATGATCCAATTGCAATGACTTTGAAGGTACTGTAGGTGGTTAGGCATGTGACAAATGTAATTTGCCGACGAATTCTGAGCTGGTACGTCTCCATGTACATCTACGATACAGCGATGTAGACGCTGTAGGCTACATCCAAGATATTTTTTCGAGACGTTTCTTCTTTCAGTAGGCGTAGAACATCGTTGTCTCAGAGTTCGAGCTCTTGATCCTCCTATTCTCTCGCACTAACCACCAGCGCATGAACCATGCGCCAGCCGCACACATGAGTGCCATACCAGCACTCATAGCCAAGGGGAAGACGAACCGCGGCTCAGACCACTCTGGCCAGATGTACTATTCAACATTAGTCAATATATCCAGGCGATCGAGATGCCAGACTTACGGGAGTCCAGATCAAGCTGAGTGTAGCTGCGACGTTGGCAATAGCCAGCGCCGCAGATTTCTTCTCCCTCGTTTGTCCACAGGTTGAGGACACCCATCCAAGGATAATGCTGTTGACGCCATACGTGCCGATGGTAAAGACGCACATGGCAAAGTACCTCGCGCCCACGTTCATAGTCGCGCAGCCGAGCACGAAGCCAAAGACAGCCACGCCTTTGGCAATCGTGATGTGCCAGGTGCGTTCGTTGAAATGGCCAGATGATATGGCCCATGCGACGGAGAATGCGCCCGCAATCAAGTAAGGTGGACATGTCAATACGAGTGTGACTTCCTGAGAGAAGCCGAGTGTGTTAACGATCGTTGGCATGAAGTTCTTGAACCTGCAGAGGTAGGGGTACGAAGTCAGTATGTGTCTCACATGCACTTCGTACAGTCAGAACTTACCCATTGGTAGCAATGTGCCTAGAAAGTGTCAGAGACGGTAGTTGTAGCGGAACCGATGGAACTAACAGGTGTTGCATATAAACGAACACCCAAACTTTGGGGTCGCGGATAGCTTCCTTGAGGCCTGCGAGCATGGAAACGTCGGCGGAGTGGCCGACTGTATCTCGCGCAACCCGGGCGTGCGCAAGTTGGCGTTCTTCGGGGTTGAGCCACCATGTAGTTAAAGGCTCGTCAGGAAGGGTAAAGCAGGCGACTACGGCGATGATAAAGGTGACAACACCCTGTATGATGAACAACCAACGCCATTACTTTTGGCTGCTAGATTCCCATCATGCAAGCTTGCTTGCATGATGGGAATCCAGTAGCCCAACCTAGAATACACGCTAAATCTCTATTATGCAAGCTTGCTTGCATAATAGAGATTTAGCAACCCTCACACATAACACGCACACACACACACAACACGCACACACACACACACAACACAACAACGGCGATGACAAAAGTGAGGGCACCTTGCAGGATGAAGAACATTCAGATCATCCCACACTACCCCGTCAAAGCCACTTTTTCTCTCCGGAAAGGCCGGTGGAGAGGGCATCAATATCCCAGAGGCGTCCATCATGATCCAAACCGAAGTCTGGTGGAATAGGAATGCCGAGTTGCAACTTTACAGTCGGCTGCTGCGTCCCGGCCAGCCCTATACCGTCATCGTCATTCGACTGCAAGCGTTGGGATGCAGTATTGATGACTGTATCATCAATATCCAGTCGAAGAAGAAGACCGTCAACACTGTCTTGATGCGACCGTTGGTACGCCCTCACGATGAGCCGCCCGATGTCCCGGATATGTCATTTCCGCCGCAGTGGTTGGTTCAGACAAGCGAGGAGGAGGAGGGAGACGAGGAGGACGAGGAGGACGAGGAGGACGAGGAGGACGAGGAGGACGAGGAGGACGAGGAGGACGAGGAGGACGAGGACTAGACGGGTGTATATCGAAGACGTCGATACCTACACGGTCATGAGTTGCCAATAAGCTTGGTTCCGTCGACGCTTCCTCTTTCGGATGTGTGACAAGCTTGGATGTTAGCATGATTCTATGCCGCATTGGTCGAGAAATGACTGCCACAGCTATAACACGAATCAAAAGGATTGTTTCCATCAGCCTCTTCATCTTGCATCACTACGTTGCTGTCCAATTAGCTTGAAAAGGTGGCGGTGTGCCACGTTTACCACGCCATTCGCTCTTTCCAACCTCAGCGCAAACACTCACCTTGCCCCGCACACGTCAAAACTTGCAGACTTTTCCCTCACCCGTCCTCCATCAGCCTTTCCGTCGTCCTCGTTACCTCGAATAGTGCATGCGCTGACGATGGCCGGCAACACGGCTACCCTCGCGGATGACTTCAACTCCTCCGACATCGAGATTCCGGAACGACAAGGTAAGTGCGCCCTAATTCAAGGCCTTCGATTCTTTCCCGTGCACTGGAGAGCTAGAAAGCTAATGCGTTGTTCTGTAGATGAGTACGCACATCTAGGCGGCGACTCATTGCACCGGGCCCTCGCCCGAGCAGCAGAAGATCGCGTCTCGAGCAAAATTGCGTACAAACAGCGACCCATCTACTACGGTTCCCCCAGGACGAAGAACGCGCAGGCCGTTTGGCGTAACCGATTCCTTGGGTTCTTGAAGGACAGTCTGAACGTTGCGTAAGATACCCCGACACGCCAAACTTCAAGGTCCTCGATTCCTAACAGATTTCTAGACCAGACCAGATGCCTACGAGCGAGCACATTATACGCTTCGCCTACGCATACCCGAAGTACATCGAAGGCCGCGGCCCCTCTGGAATCATGGCCTACTCAAGCCTCTCTGATGGCATTGCCCTGATCATCATCACCACGCAAGCCGCGCATCCCGAGTTCAAGATCAAACCAGGAGAAGCCACCCAGATCAAGGCTGCATTCGGCGAAATGCTTGAACAGGGTCATATAACTAAAGACGAGAGTAGGGAGAAGAAATGGATGAGTGGACGCCTCGTGTTGTTCATCGCCACCGCGTGGCTCCGCGATGCTGCCATGAACGGATGCCGTAATTGGGATTTTGTTCTTCAAGGAGCCTTGTCTATGGCTCTAATGGTATCAACAGGGGCTAGGTCGGGAGACCTTGCACAGTCGTCATGCTACAAGGGCAGAGAGTATGCCAAATGGGGTGACTTCACCGTGAGGCTCGTCACGGATCAAGCAGGATTCGAAGCACTCGATTGTCTCGTTGAACTCCGCTACACAAAAGGCAACAAGTAAGTCTGATAACGCTACCCTGAGCTTCTTTCTGACCATCTATAGGGATAGTAGCAACATCGCACACTCGATTAAGCTAGAGCTGCTGCCGCCACAATTCAACGTATGCGATCCCATCAAGCTTCTCGTCGTAATGGCCCTCCGGAGCGGCAATGTCGCAGAAACCTCGATCGAGTCTCTCCTGGCCACAACCCGTGCACGGCGAAACAAGACGATGTTGTGGAAAGATCCTACACTGCCCATATTGAGGGCGTCGAATGCTGGTCATGCCCTCACTTACGATTCCCCGGCGCCAGAATCGCAACTGCGCACGGTTCTACAGCGGGCTTCTTCCCTGGGAGGATTGTTGACAACCCCAGGGACGCATGACATCCGCCGCGGTGTAGCCTTCGAGGCCCACCACTTGCCGTCCACCAAAGAAACCTCGAGCCACGAGCGTGCCAGAAGGTTGTTAGGTCACACGAATTCAATGGCCCAGTCAGGCGTCACCCAGGACTACATAGGTGGTGCGGTATCAGGTCTCATGGAAGAGCGCTTACAGGCCGACTGGACGAAGATGCCGGCAACAAGGCTTCACGAACAGTCACAACTAGAATACAAGAAACCGAAATTCAGCACGGAGGAGGTAGAAAAGTACCTCGGCAGCAAAGGGCCGGCGTCCCAGAATGATAAGAGGAGAGCAAGACGACACATGGCAAAGGCTCATCGTGACGAATGGGTCAAGGCCAGCAGCCTGTCCGGATTCAACCGCGTCGATTCGGAAAAGGAGAACGAGGACTACATCCCTATAGATCCACAGTTGACTCCGACCGTGTCAGCCCCGAAAAGGCGCAAGACGAACCCGCTGTCAGAAGCCGATCAAAACGCCATGACGCATGCCCCAGCATTCGAAGTCGACATGGTGCAGAGCGAGATCCCAGTAGATCCGATGTTGTCAGGCTTCGTGGAAAGCCTACTATCAGATAAAGTATTCGACATGAACAGTTACTCGGAAGACATTTTCGATCTCGAACCACTGGCCGCCGCAAACTCTCCCAAAGACCCGTATGAATCAACATCCTCGATTTCCACCGAGGAGGACCCCTTTACACTCTCGTGGATCTCGTTCATCGAACACTTCTCCAAGATCAACATCAGATCAGCTCAGACTCTGGCAATCAACGGAGGCAGCAAGGACTCTTCTAGCATTTTTGGCATGAGTTGCTCAAAAGGATGCGGCTTCAGCGCAACAATTAATCAACGCATGCAGGCGCACGAACTGTTTTGTAAAGGAAAACAAAAGTCGCATGACAAGAAAGTTCCTTGCACAACAAGCGGCTGCGACAAAACGTTTACGGCTCTCAAGGGCATGCAGGAACATGTCCGTACAATTCACAACTTCAAGCCTTCCCCCTGCACTCGCAAGGATGAGTGCGACCAGACTATAGTGTACCCGACTTACGCAGCGAGGCAGAAGCACTACCTGGCGACACATTGCTCGTACAAGCCGAGAACCTGTCCGCGCTGTGTAGGTACTCCTAAGGAGCACAAGAAGCTCCCCCAGGAGCAAGATTTCCGCGTCGATATGGCGAAGGTGCACGGGTTGTCCATGGCGGAGGTGGACAAGGTGCTAGCGGAGAACCTTGCTCCCACTGAGGAAGAGACCCAGTAATCGACGACCTCGGTTCGCGGGGGCTCCAGAGGAAATGAGGTGGTATATGGAAACAACATAGATGTACGTATAATAGCGGAGGTTTAATCATGTCGGCGGGGGAGTTATACCTTGATGCAGAAAATACCAAGACTCTAGGTGGGCAATTCTGCTTCCCACTCCTACCAGATGCCACATGCCTGTGTAATTATTAGATGGCTCTTGCGATCAGGCAAGGTCTGCTCTGATGTACGGAGGTGTAGCAACATACTGGCTGAGGTATCTTCCATGGAACTGCTCATGCGATACTGAATCAACAGGATGATTGCTTGGAGTGCACCGAGCCCGCCTTTCTCCAAGACGGTCGAGGCTCGCTTCATCGCCCGTATGTAATGAGTATGAGCACTTGGTAGCCCCTGCCAATCAGACCGGCAGATGCTGGCTGTCGCGATAGCAAGAACCATGTCGAAAATGAAGGTTTCACTAGCGGAGCGCGTGGAGGAGGTCGCGTTCGAGCTGTATATTTCCGAAAGCATCGCACCGAGAGTAGCAGGGAGGACAACAGGGTAGCGTAAGTGGTCATGGTTGAGATAGGACAGTACAAGTCTGCTCGCTATCTGTTCAGATGGTAAGTCTCGAGCAAACTCAATAGCCGAAGCAGTCGCGTTGATAGCATCAGCGTCAACAGGTGGAGTTGTCGACGGCGTTGAAGTTTCAACGTCCACATTGGCTCTGATGAAGTTCGCGAGAAGTATGCCGCTTGAGGACCCCAGATAGTTCCTTTCCCCGGAGGCATTGATCGAGAGGTAGGACACTTCACCCGCGACGTCGGTAGATGTACGACGCTGCGAAGTGCCACTGTCGTTTCTGGAATGGTTACTTTGGACATTGGGGGCGGAATTTTGGCCTGTAGAGGATACTGAGTCTGCCCTCCTTTGTTGCACAAGAGTCCTGTTCTGAACTTCTAAGCGCTTAATTCTTCGTTCAAGCGTGTCTACGTGGGCCTGGCTATAGGTGCGTGCTTTGGTCCGATCTGTATAGCGGCATTCTGATCCATTCAAGCTGCATCGTCGGCACGGGAGAAGCTTGTCGCATCGAACCTTCCTCTCATGACAGTGATCGCACCTGCACGTCGACGTTAGCGCTCTACACGCGTCGAGACGCGTTGTGACCGACCGGGTAATGGGCTACGAAGACATACGCTTGCATGGCTAGGATCGTGCCCTTGCGCGTCTGAGAAACTCGGTGCCCAGATCCGAGAGCTTCGGTGTGTGGGAGCGAGATGTGGAGTAGGAAGAGAACCGCTGGCCGAGATGTTGGCATGGTGCAAGTGCCGGCACCGGGAAGCGGGCGAGTAGTAGCGTGATTCGGCCTCGGCCCTCCACGACCGAGGATGGAGTCATTCTGCACGAACAATTACGCTAGTATGATGGCGTCGATGTCGTGAATTGAAGAGTAAACACGCTCGCAATGTGCGCGATAGATTGTGGGGTAGTTTACTTCCCAACGTTGACATGCGACACGCGACATCTTCCAAGGTTGTGCCTCGCCCACTCACGTGCACGTGCCTGCGATGACGCAGAGCGCAATGAACCACTCACAACTTCCGCAGCCTTAACACTGCGAGAGAACGTGCAGCGATACCAAAACAGTAGCGAAGTCAGGGGAACCTTTTGATAGCAGCCCCAGGCGACAGACAGCCTGAACGTCAAGACCGACAGCAATATCACCTGGGCAGGCCTCGCGTCAATCCGAACCTGTACTACCTCCAATATTTAAGTATACAGGCTTATCTTTTCTAGAGAGTAGAACTGGAGTACATCACCTCGTGTGTCTTCGTTACCACGAAGCCCCTCTGGCTACATTGCGATCGCGCAGGCAGCAGCGACATACATTACACCCGCAATTCAGCGCGACTTACGACGTGCAACTTCCTATAAACACCGTTCTTGGTTCCACTCCTGCTCCCATCTTCAACTCTTGCCAACGAAGCCCAATTCATCACCATGGTAGTCAGCCCACTCTTAACACAGCCGATGTCCTATGAGCCCATCGAAACCCGCATTGCCGCCATGCGCGCTGCTCTATCCGAAGGCTTCTCTCCCAACGAACTTGACAAGCGCCCCCGCGGTGTAGGTCGCCCGCTAGACTGTGCAATCGAAGATGGCTGGCCCGCCGACTTTGTCCATCTCAAGCAAAATCTACCTATCGTCCATCTGCTCCTCGAAGCCGGGGCTGATCCCAGGCTTCCTTCTCGGGATCCTCCCGGCCGCTCGCCAATTGATTCCCTAGAGGCCTGGTTCAAGCAGTATGAGATCAGAGGGCATAAATTCGGTGCTGAGCATCTAGAGCTGAAACCGTTCTTTGAGAAGGCTTTGGAAGCTATGAAAGAAGTTGCTGATGAGCTCAATGGTGAGTTTGCGTTGACATAATGTTGTGTATGTCTCTTGTTCGTTGGCTAAGCTAAAATGCGATTAGCAAAAGACGCCGCTGAAGCAGCTGAAGCAGCCAGAAAAGCTCGAAGAGAGAGACCGTTGTTTGGTAGGCTGAGATTTTGGTGACGGGATCGATGTAGCTGCAAGAGGTGGTAACAATGCGTTTGCGCGTTTAGCCCGCGGAACCGGCTTAGGTCTTTGCTTATGAGGCGGCACCGCAATTTATCTGGTGGCCTTCAGCATGATCGAGAGCACGGGTATAGTGTGGGCAGTGAAAAGAATGTAGTATCTTGTACCTGCCTCAAGGGCCTGAGGCGATCCGGCGACAAAATTCCAAAATCGCGACTACCAGGACGGGAAGATGGAAGACAAGAAGGCAGAAAGGTGGCAAGAGAAGGAACTGCAAAGAGCGCCAATGGGAACGAATGCGATTCGTCCGATGCTCATGTGCTCTTACCTTTTGCATATCGTACGTCCTTGTCTGTTTATTCACGCCACATTCAGGTTGATAGAGGTTCTCCACCTTACAGCTTCGTCATGTAATGGCATTTTTCACGATATTGTACTGTACAATCCATATCATCCGATTAATCCTCAATATCATCATCACTCAACGTGAGGCTAGCACCTTTGTCCGCTAAACCAGCAATCGCTGTTTCCGGCTCTTGTGCCTTACTCTCAAACTTCACCCGTCCTCTCTTCTTCGGCGTCTCCAGACTTGGTTTATCCGTAGACCACTGCTCTTGCTCGCCAGGGCGAATGTCTTCTTCGGCGTCATCTTCTTCAGTGGCACCGGAGAGAGCGTTTCCAGTGAACGCTGTGATCTTCCGGATTTCGCGCACGGTGGCAGCTGTGGATGGGTTCGGCATGCGTGATTTTCGCAAGATGGTGGTCATGTAAGGTAGACGTTCCAGAAGCATTTCATTTCGCGCCGAGCCGCCACTTCCAAGGAGAATTGAAGCTGGCGCATCTTCTTCGGCATCTTTCGAGCCGGATGCCGATGTGGGCTGTGAGAACGAAGCATTGCCTTTCCACGACTCGACTCCTCCGCTCGAGAAGGCCGCTTTTGATGTGGTTGACCCTGTCGAAAAGAGCTCACCACGCTGCGCCTTTGATACCCACATCTCCAGTGCACCTTCAATCTCTTCCTGCTGTTTCCATATACGCAGCGACGCCGGATAGTACATGACAAACGCGTTGCCTTTTGCCGCTCCACCACTTGCTCCTTGACCTTTCGCTTTGATGCCCATGATGCCTGGAGGCGGTGCAACGCGCTTGACGGGATATGGCAGGTTATACAGAAGCCCTCGTACACTCGTCTGAAAGCACATCTCGTCTTGGCGTAGATTGTCCGCACTAGTTCCTTGGAGGACCCGTCGGCCAGCGCCCGCACCAAAGCGGTCCGGCGATAGAAGGTCGGCATCGGAAAGAGCTTCTATACAGCCCTCAATAGAGTCCATAGTCTCCTCACTATCCGCGGCTCCGCAGGACAGGACATAGTTCTCGTGGAGAGCAGCGACAAAGGTCTGGGTATCGGTACCCAACTCATCGATGAGGGTGTCGACATTGACCTCCGAGGCCTTCGGTCTTCGCCTTTCTGGAAACCAGTTTGGTGGATGTGCCACGGGTGTGTTAGAGTCCTCCGGTAGACGCTTGTTGTACACAACCCTCCCAACAGCATGGAAGATGCCGAGAGTGCTTTCGCGCTGCGTCACCATTTCGAGCGACTCCTGCTCGATCTTCGTCATCGGGATGTCTTTCGGGCCCTTCTTCTTCGTGAAGTTGACTTTCGCGCCCCAGCCTTCCGCATCATCACCTCGCAGGCACAGGAACTCGAGGGAGGAGACAGCGCTGCGAATGTCTCCAAGTTCTGCAAGACGCTGAATTGCCTGTGGCCCTAGAGTCTTCTTGCGCCCGGATTTGCGCGCCTCCTTGACAACAATTGTTTCTAGCGCCTTTGCCATGTATGTGGGGGCGATTGGGTTGAACTCGAGGACAGACACTCCGGGATGGGTCAGAATCTCAGGGCCTAACAGCCGATGTGCAGTGAAGCTGTCGGCTGCCGCCGTGTTGGTAGACAGCAGGGTCTCGGATATTATCATTACGATTGGGGTCACTGGCTGCTCGGGATCGACCTGGGTCGAAAAGAAAGCAGTAGCTGATTGCGTATTGGCAGCAAGATAGTTGAGGACGGAAGAGCGAAAAGATTGAACGGCCGAAGAAGTACGTGTGAATGTATTCGGAAACTCCTCTACTAGGACCAGCTGCTTCTGCCTCTCAGTCTGACTGTTGGACGAAGCCGTCTGGGCACTCATTGTCGGCTCATCGAAGGCCAGACTACCAAAGGCTCCAGTCCTTCCAACGAATTCTTCGAACTGTGCAGTAGCAGACACAAAGCCGTCGGAGGTTGACATGGAACCTATAGGGTTCTTCCATTCATGCATGTGGATGCCCAGTTCCTTGGACAGCAGGGACATGGTGGTGGTCTTCCCACTGCCAGCAGGGCCTTTGAGCAGCAGCAGTCGCTTGCGTGCCTTGCCGCTGAAGACGTCTGTGAGCCATGTCCGCACGTCCGCCACCTTCCTCTTATGCACAGCGAGCTCATCGAGCGACGCGGGGCCGTACTTTTCAGTCCACGGCCGCCGGTCTTCTGTATCCTGCCGCGCTGGCTGGGATGATATCGGTGTTGTGGATAGCGGTGTTGTGCTACGCGCTCCGCTCGCTGTTCGCAGGAACTTCTGCCTGTTACTCAGGGCATTGCCAGGGTCCGTTGGCGCTGTCGCAGCGATCGGTCTCTTACGAACGGGGAGGGGTTTCGGGGGCTTGATGGACGGCGCATCGTCTGAGGAATCAAAGATGTCGTCTACATCTTCAATTGAGGGCGCCGGTTTCTCGGGGCTCGGCGTGGGGTGCAGCGACTGCGAGCGCGGTATATTACTGAAGAAAGAAGTGATGGGCTTGGACACTGGCTTTGCTTTAGCCGGCGATTTGGCTGGAGACTTCTTAGTAGGAACTGCTCGCGATCGCGTGGGCGAGGCTGCACGTGTCTGGGATCGGGTAGCCTTCTTTTCTCCATGCGCCCCAGTCGCGACGCCTGTTAGTGTGCCCCTCTTGGGACGCGCGGGAGGCGGTGTATGTGAATCATCCGCCTCAGACTCGGATGAGACGACGATCGGCTTTTTCCGCGTGGCTCGAAGCTTAGCCATGCCGCCCCAATTTGATGGACCTGGAGAGCACTCGACTGCAGAGTGACATGCTCAGTGCTAGGCCGGTTGGGGGTGCAGAGCGCGTGATGTGAGTCCAGCAGCCGTGTCGAGTCTACGTCGCGTCGGAGCGCGGAGGAAGTTCCACGGGCCCAAGCGCGCTAGGCACAGTGGGGCCAAGAGCTGCTAAGGCTGTTGACAACGCACCTCTTTTCTGCATCTTCACACACACCGCTGCTCTTTTTCCGCTAGCACCCGCTGTAGTGCGCTCCTTTCGAGGCTCATATGCAGCTAACTTGTCCAACCGGAGACCGCCACAACGCCCTCCCTGCCACTGCTGCAGGAGGTTCAATTTTCGAGCCCCAGCGGCGTCATCGCGTGCATATCGGCTCGTTGAATCGCTGTCCGACAGTAAACATCAACAAAGAATTCGGTCCATGGCCTGTGGCTGGTCCACTGTCGCTGGCCGCCATCGTCGTACAGAGTGAGCAGCGCAGCAAGACCATATAGACGTAATTGTACCAGACACGCGAAGTCGCATACGATGGCTGGTAACGCAACGCTCGGGGCATATAAATTAGACCGCTCGAGTTTACGATGAGCTGGCACTTCCCTGCCAATCTCCCATTGGGCGGGAAGGCGTTTGCAGCTTGTACTATCCTCTTCCGTTCTTTTCACTGCCGCATTCCTTATATGCTGATTTCGCGCGTGCTCGTTGTTTTTTGATATGTTCCCCGTCGTCATGCCCCGTTAACAGGCGCCTTTTTAATTTTTGCGAGTATCTGAGCTCAACGTGAGAAGCGCAAATTCCGGCGCAGGATTCGGGAGTTCTTGTTGTCTTTGACGCTATTTACAAGAACTATCACGTTTGGCGGCCGTTATGGCAAAGAAAAAGAAAAGCAGCAAGAAACCGGTGGAGCCCGTTGCTCCACCTGACAACGTGCCAACGAATGCTGCGGAACCAATTCCTGATGCGCCTGAAGCTCCATTGACAGCAGAGGAATCAGCCACAGAAGCAGAGTCCGGGGAGCAGTCCATGCCAACCGCTTCCGAAGTGGAGCCCGACGAGGGTACGGTTCCCACGCTGGTGGACGAGTCCACATCTGCACCCTCACAACACCCTGAGACCATAGAGACTATACCAGACGAGGCTGCAGAGGCACCGGCCACTGAGATCATACCTGCTGCAGAGCTAGATCCACCTATGGGGGAAGAGCAGGAATCTGGGTCGCCAGCGGATACTACCGAGGCCGTGGAGTCAGAGATTGCCGGGCAAAGCGCTGAAGACATGCATCATACTACAGCAGAAGATGAAGAGTCATCGGTTATTTGGGTTGGAGACGCGCACGACCCAGAACCCGATGCAGAGCAGCAAAATACCCCCCAGGAACAGCAGCCCCTACAACTAGACGAAGAGTCCACACCCCAGCCAGACCCTGTTCCGACTCAAGATTCTATTGAACCAGCAGACACGCCGGTTGAAGACACGCTCCCGCCACAAGAATCTACAGCGGAGCTAGCGCCTGAAGCAGAACCTGAAGCAATTACTACCACCGCGGAAGAAGCTATCGAATCGATAGACCAGATGAATGGCGGTCTTAATGAGAACGGAGCTGAGCAAGATCTGGCGGAGATAGTCGAGGTACCAGAGGCACCAGGGGCACCAGAGGCACCAGAGATAATGGAAGCACCTGAAGTACCAGAGGCGCCGGAAGTGCCAGAGGCACCCGAGGCTCCAGACACACCCACAGTAGCAGAAGCTCCAGAGGCTCCAGAGGCACCTGAAGTGCCAGAATTACTAGAGGTACCTGAAGCTCCCGAAGCTCCTGAAGCTCCCGAAGCTCCCGAAGCACCAGAGGTATCGCAACCACCAGAAGCTGTCGAAGCGCCAGAAGTACCAGACGCACCCGAAGCACCCGAAGCACCCGAAGCACCTGAAGCACCAGGGGTACCAGAGGAACCAGAAGTCCTAGAAGCTCCAGAGGCTCCCGAAGTACCTGAGGTACCAGAAGCGCCTGAAGTACCAGAAGCACCGGAAGTACCAGAAGCACCGGAAGTATCAGAAGCACCGGAAGTACCAGAAGCGCCAGAAGCACCAGAGGCCCCCGCTGCACCTCTGGCTCCATCAGTCGTGTCAGCTGGGAGCGACGAGGACGACATCATCGAAGCTTTTACAGTCGAGGATCTATCAGCACCAGAACCAGAGCCTGAGGCCGTTCCTATAGCAGTCGAACGGTCGGTGGACGTCGGGCTACCAGATGCGCCTGTCGAAGGAATATCAGCACCAGAAGCCCCTGAGACAATCACACAGCCTGAGTCTATTCCCGAGACTTCGTCTACAGATGCCCACATTGAGCCGATAGAAGAGCTCGTCGTACCTGTCCAAGACGAAGTACCAAGACAGCATGCCGAACAAGAGCAAGAGCGGGTTGAGGCTGAAGCAGCGGCCGCTGCTGAGGCTCAAGAATCTGCCTCGCTGGCGCAGGCCGCCCAATCCCAGGAAGACGCACAGCGAGAGGAACTGAAGAGATTAGAGCAAGAAGCAATCGAGCACGAGAGGTTAGCGAAGGAGGCCGAGGCCAACAGACTGCTGGAGGAGCGACGCGCAAGAGAGGCCCAAGAAGAGCTGGAAGCTGCCGAAGCCGTGAAACGGGCTCTGGAAACCATGAGAGCCAAGAAGGAAGAGCAGCATAAGGAGACCGAGAGGCTCGAACAAGAGCGACTGGCCCGTGAAAGGCTCGAGCAAGAGAAGTTAGAGCAGATTGTCGAAGCAAGGAAGCTTCTGGCATTAATGGAAGAAGAACGGAGGGCCGCAGAGATCCAAGAAGAGGCCGAAGCCGCTGCAGCTGCCGAAAAGGCTCGGAAAGAGAAGGAAGAGGTCGAAGCTGCAGCTGCCGCCGAACGTGCTCGACAAGAGAAGGAAGAACTCCGGCAGGAACAATTACGACGTGAGAGAGCCGAAGAGGCTCGAATTGCTAGGAAAGCCCGAGCAGCTGCGGATGTCCTTGCGGAAGAGCAGAGAGAGGAAGCAGAACGGTTGGAACGGCTGGCCCAGGACGAGTCACGTGAGCAAGCCGAGATACCATTCATCGCACGTCGATCCATGATCGAATCAGCACGTGCTCCGTCACCTCCTTCGGGAGTACCTGACATGCACGATCGTTCTCCAGTATCTGATCGACCATTTCGATCGTATCGATCTTTCGCGCCACATGCACCGAAGCTTAGAACACACGAAGCGGGTCCAAACCATGCACCGAAGCCTTATGCTGTGGCACAGCTCATTGAGGACAACAGACCTGCCGCCCCGAGCCCGCCAATGAGTAAAGCTCGACCAAGGTATGTGAATTCCATTTCTCAGTCCGGTGAGGTAGTCTCTCGGCGCTTCTTCGGCGGACCGTCAACCACGACGCCGGACCCAAAGCGAACATGCTCGAGATACATAAGGTTCCTGGCCGAACTCTGATGGATTACGATACTAACTACATGTTTCCCTCTAGACACGCTCCCACCTTTGACAGCGACGACGATTCAGATTCTGCTCTAGTACAAAACAGGATAGCGTCGAGGCGTCCATTTAGCGGTGAAGCGCATGAAGTGTCGCGGTCCCACTTAGGCCCACATCAACCACGTAGCGCTTTTGCATCCCGAGTGCCTGTTGAGCCCACCTATCCGGCCCCTCCACCAAATTATCATCCCAGCTACTATGCCCCGCCAGCCCAGCCGCCTCACCACTACCCAGATCATGCCTACGGCATGAGTCAGCAGGGTTATCCCGCGCCTAACCCCAATCCTTACGGCCCTTCGTCGCATTCTTCCTCCCCTCCCTACCAGGAATCATGGAGCCAATACCCACCCGGGTACCCTCCTTATGGCAGCCCACATCATCGACAGGACTCCTCTGGTTCTAGAGACCTTCATTCACATGTTTTAGCCAGTCGACCTGCAATCGAACACGTGTCTGGCGACGCACTCTCACATATCCCGCAGACTGATCTGCACGTTCTACTTGCGCATTACAAAGAGACTCACAACCAACTGCGTGCTAGGGAGGACCTGCTTCGTCGGCAAACTGCTGAGCAAGAGCAGAAACTCCGCGCAAAGGATGGTGAGATTGGTGAGCTGAAGCAGAAGATTCGCAACTTGGAAGACAGGCATTCAGCCGAGGCAACCAGACTACACTTTCAGATCGGGAATCTGGAAGAGCAAGTCAGAGAGCTCCGAGAGCTGATCGCTGAAACCAAGAAAGCTAGAAGAGACGCCGAAGAGACCAAGTTGGTACTGGATGCAGCCATGAGGTCGTGGGAGGACAGGTACAAAGAGCTGGAAGATGTGCATCGCACGCTGGAGAGGACCTCTGCTGAGGAGAGGGAAAGAGCATGGAGGGATTTCGACGAATGGAAGGAGGCCACGAATACGAAACACGACGCGGAGAAGATCGCCCTTGCTATCCAATTCGACAAGAAGCTGAAGCAAGCTGGGCAAGATGCTGCCGAGGCAGCTGAGCTCAGGGCTCAGCTTCAAGCAGCCCTTGACCGAGAGCAAGAACTCATCAGGGAGCGCGACGACCTACAGAAGATGCGAGAAGACTCGGATAGGCGGGCTGGGGAAGAAGCAGCGAGAGCCGATCAACTGGCGAGAGAGAAGGACGAACTGATGAACTCATTCGACCAACTCAGAGCCGAGAGTCAGAGGGAGAAAGAGGTCATCAGAAGCGTTGCCAGTAATCTCGAGTCGGAGAAATCCAGACTTGAGAAAATGATGGAATGCTATGGTGACATCGCCGAGATCAAGAGCAAGGGCGACAACTACTAGTAAGTGATTCCCAGTTTTGCACATTCGCTCTCGATGCCGGCATGGTGGTAGCAGAGGCTGTATTGTAGCCAGTGTTGGTTGATGGTGGACGATTTGGGTGCACTTCATTGTCCGTTGAGGATAACGAAGCGCACCCAAATCGTTTGCTGATCTTCTGGCCGGCAACTGTGATGGTGCGACAGAAGCCACCATGTATTGCCATACACTGTCTTTCTCGTCTACCGCTCGCGTAATGCGATGTTTGCTGTCGCGTCCTTTTACTGTCGCTTTGTCACGTACAGAGTTGCTCGCTAACATCATCGCCTCTAGCCTGGTATCCTTTACTCAGCTTCAAAGGCAAATCATCGATCTTGCTACAACCCATTTCGTTCACCTTCCAGTAAGGCCGCCGCCGGAGGATCTTGCGCAGGTGCCGTCCAACCTACCGTCCTTCCTTGGTGATAGCATTGCCTCCAGACAAGTCCGAACCGCATACATCGCCCACACTGTATCGAAGCTCATTACTTTCCGTGTCTTTGGCCCTTTCTTGTTCAGTCTTGGGCGCCGCTACGACAAAGCCGACTCGCTGTTCTCCTCGATGAGCCACCACATTCGCGAGAAGAGCACGCGCAAAGAAGCGATCTGGCGACAACAAACACTCCTTGCTGCATTCACCAGCACAGGCGCGAAGCAGCGCATCAATACTGCTGCCGGCACCGTTGTCGAAGAGATTGTCAACGCTATCCGACACTTTGCTGATCCAAAAGAGGAGGAAGGCATCAAAATCGCTGTGAAGCGCATCGTAAAGGTCGCCGCGGAGACATGGAGATTTGCTCGTCTCGAGCGCGAGATGATCACCGCCGTCATGCCTGCGCTGCACGACGAGGAGCACCAATTTACCAGCAGTCAGTTCTGGCCAGCTTACAGCCCAGAAACAGGCTCAGCGTCGGATGAGCCACCTCCTCCTGATTCGCAACGACAACTGTTACTCAGAATCTTCCCGGTCGTATACCGAGAATCGAAGCACGAGATCTTCCAGAACAACGAAGAGCAGCGTGACGAAGGCTGCATTCTCCACCATGGGCTGGCTCTGTACGATGATGCAGAGCCAGTCGTGACGAGAATAGAGGAGCTCAAATCTGCTGGTTTGCCTCCCCATACCACTGCATTAACGAGTCCGACTGACGAGGGCAAGTTTCCGCCGCCGGTACGTAACACCACCCGCGTGTTCACCTTACCCCAGCGTTCCTAGTACCGCTTTCGAGCTTCCTTCACCCAGCCTCTGACAGGCTCGCGATATATCGAGATCTACGTAAGACGAAAACACTGTTTCAGATCACTTGGCTAACACGCTGGCTTTCCAGGCTTGCCCGCCTCCTCGCGACCCGATACCACCTCCCCCCTCTCCCCCCGCCCCTCGATCTCCGACGAAAGCCGAGACGAATACGGATGAGGAATCTCCGGTGTCACGTCCGATGTCACCAGAGAAGCCAGAGAAGCCCAAGAAGCTATCGGCTATCGAGCGAGCGTTGAACCTCTTCTCTGCTCCTTCCTCGGATGACAGGATGAAGCCTCCACCTCCAGGCTCTACCTTTTCACGTCCGCCGGCGCCTCCGACGTCCGTGTTCACGTCGCCCAGGAACTTCATTGGCATGCCCGTGGAGAGTTTGGCTCCCTCACATGCCCCGAGTGCAAGGAAGAAGCCTCCACCACCACCGCCGAAACCTGCGTCGAAACCTGACATACCTTCAACGGCTGCGGAGATAGCAGAAGCCATACGCCATCGGCAGTCTGTGGAGAGCGCGATCCTACCGCCGTCCTTCTCGCGAACTACGACTGATGACACTATCCACGAGCATCCCGATTCGCGAGCTCCTACGCCGGTAGACACGGTGTCTCACATGTTTGATGCCATCGATGAGATCGAAACGCTGGTGCCTCAACGTACGCGGACTACGTCGACCTCTACCACGCATTCGCGACGCCGCTCTACGCACACTCGCCGCTCTACCGAACACGCCATTGAGGACGAGCTATTTGACATCACTCCTCGACCCGATCACACTCGCAGAAAGAGCGGTTACGCGGCCAGCATTCGCACGACCAAGTCCGCCGATACCGAGCGCACTGATCGAAGTGAGCGCACCGACAAAAGTGAGCGAACCGACAAGAGCGAACGTACCGAGAAAAGTGAGCGCACCGACAAGAGCGAAAGAACAGACAAGAGCGAGCGGACAGAGAAGAGTAGCCGTAGCCACCGGACAGAGAAGAGTGACCGCTCGGATAAAACCGAGCGCGAAAAGGCTCGTTATGTGTACGAGACGCGTGGTGCTGCTATGAAAGCTTTATATCCTAACACTCCGGTGAAGAGCTCTCATGGCAGCGCTAGACACTCCGAGAAGAGTGTGAAGAGCGAGAGAAGGAAGGAAAGAGGCAGCAAGGACTCAACCAAGGAATCGAACTTGACGAGAGAATCCCGAGAGTCGAGAGAGGCGAAGAGAGAATCCCGAGAAGTCAAGAGACAAAGGAGTATCTCTGATGCTGGCACTTGGGATACCAACAGCATCATGACTCACGACTTTGCGCCTACAACCATCACGACCAACGCACCCTATCCTTTCATGTACGACTCAAGACGAGACTCGAAAGAGTTGAAGCGAGAGTCCAGAGAGATACGGCGGCAACGCAGCATCTCTGACGCTGGCACCTGGGACACGAGCACTGAGATCAGTCAGCGTCCTCCACCAACCACGGTCTCGACCAACGTTCCTTACCCTACAGGAATGCCTTGGGAGCTGAAGCGATCACGAAGCATTTCCGACTGCGGTACCTGGGACACCAGCAGTGAGGTCACTCAACGTGCGCCTCCCACTACCGTATCAACCAATGTGCCCTACCCTATGGAACAACACGTGGACGAGTCGGAACGATGGTCCATGCCACCACCTCGCAACTCAATGAGGATGGAGGTCTCCGACGATGAAGTATCTGACACTGGGACCTGGGATACCAACACTGAGATCAATACCCACCGTGCTCCCCCTACGACCGTGTCTACGAACGTGCCCTATCCTTCCTACAACGCTCCTTCTACAATTATCTCTACCAACACCCCTCGTTTCACACAGCCTCCTCGACAGCTACGACGACCCAGCGTGTCCGACGATGACGCGTCTGATGATGACGTCTCCGACACTGGGACGTGGGACACCAACACCGAGATCACTACTCATCGCGCGCCTCCCACGACGGTCTCCACCAACGTCCCCTACTCAAGCATAATGCACCGCCAGCTGAGAAGGCTGAGCGGCAGCGATACTGGGACATGGGACACCGCCAGTGAGGTCACTCAGCGTGCGCCTCCCACAACTGTATCCACCAACGTCCCCTACCCCTCCGCGCAATTCAGCGACCTTGGCCCATCGAGCTACCCACCCGGCCCCTTCGAGCAGCTCAAGCGAGTCGAGCAACTCCGAAAGCAGCACGAGCACCACAGTTTCTCTGACGACGGATCTGACTCTGGCACCTGGGATACAAGCAGTGAGATCACTCATGCTAACAACGGGCCTGCTACTGCTACGCAGGTGTCCCAGAACAAGTCCTACCACCGTTCTGAGAGGCCGAGGGCACCAAGGAGACAGACGAGTCCGGGGCCGAGCGAGGCGGGAACGTGGGATACCAACAGTGTGATTACGAATAACGATATGAAGACGACTGTTTCGACGAATGTGGGGTATGCTTCTGAGCGAAGATCTCGATGAGCGAGTGTGAGAACGACGTATGAAGGCGGCCTGGGCGGCTCGCGTGGTATAGCTTCTTTTTTATGAGTTACTGCTATTACGATTTGTTTCTTTTTGTTTTCACTTTGTGCGTATGGCCGCAGCTACGCAATATCGTAGGAGCTCATGTTGATGATGCAGACGAAGGATGAACACGAATGAAAAGTATATATGGATAACGGCCGAGCAATGCATGATGAGAAGAGTCTCGAGATGGTTGCATTTCTGTAGCAGGGCGTTCTGGTTCCTTGCTTGTTTGATTCGAAGTAGACGAGCTTGTAAGATAGTTATCATATCATCTGTTTTCAAGTGCAAGATACTGCTCTCATGTTGGGAATGTGTGAAGTTCGTATGTCTTGGTTGTACCTGGCAAAGTCATTGCTGTGACGCGTAACTCTATACTTGATACAACCGCCATGTAGCCTCCAGAGCGTACTCTGGTTCAGAAGTTGTGCCCTCGTACAAGCGGAGGTCGTGGTGGTGCCACCGCAGAAAGTGAAGGAAAGCTCCAAAACGCCGAGGCTAGCCCGAACATCGATCGCGCTCGAAGCTCAAGCTACCAAGACGCTCTCAAGAAAGTCAAACTTGTCATCCCGACACCACCAACACCAATTCTCACCTCCGTCAACCGCGCCAATTCGCGTCAAACACCCAGAAGAACTATCCCCGAGCTTCAAAAATGGCAGAACCATCTCCTAACCCAGCTGTCGCAAACCCCGACATTGACCCAGCGCTCACAAATGGCGAGGCGCAACAAGCACCTACAGAACAACCTGCGGATGTAGAAATGGCAGATTCAGGCGCAGCACCAGCAGTAAGCTACCGGTCTAGACATCACCACTGGAGATATCCTACTAACACACCTCTCAAGCCCTCCACCCTCGACGCCTCAACACCCACCCACCAACCCAGCGTACAAACCGTCCCGCCCACGCCCTCCACCTCCACACCCGCACCGCCCTCTGCACCAAATCTATCGACCGCTACCACAGCGCCGACACCCACTCCCGCAGCCTCATCACGCAACTCACCGCACCCCACCGCTCAAGCGCCCACACAACCCATTCCACACGGCAGTCCGACGCGAGTGTATCTAAATCAGCATGTGACGCCGCATTTACTCGAGGCGATGAAACATCTTGCTACTGCGGAGCCGGAGAAGCCGCTCAAGTGGTTGAGCGAGTTTTTGGCGGGGAAGAGTAGGGAGATTGAGGGGACGTGATGGGCTTTTGGATAATGGTAGATAGGATGACGGAGTGTGGAGGAGTTGAGCATGGCATATTTGGGACGCAGACAATGAAGCCTTGTATATGGGCGATTGCACGAGGAGCGCCCGCTCAGGCACTTGCGGACGAGAAGGAGACAGTCACACACATGCGTGTCTGGGCGGTGAGCTTGCGATTAATTCGTCAAGCTCGACTACTGGACGGGCAGCATGGTTCTGAAGGGCAAGCGATATGGAACGAGTTCAAGCGCATGGCAGATGCTCACCAAAAGTATAAGACGGCGTCAGGATGATACCCAAGTCAAGCAGCATTACAACAAGCAAATTTCAGACTCTGACACTTTCAATGCAAATTGGGTATATTTCAATTCGAGGTGATGCTTTTGATTGATTCATTCCATATCGTGATCCTGCTAGGTATCCCCGCAAAGCATCCATGCCCGTGAAACTCCACTTAAATGTCTACCATGACGACTACCATCCACACCAATCCGACATCTGCTTATGCGACGAGGGTAGAGGCGGTGGCGCTCTCGTACCTCCAGGTAGGGGGGAGGGCACCGACGGTCTTGTAGTAGCGGGAGAGCTGGAGATGATGAGCACGTGCTTTTGACATTGTATCAACATGGGTGAACTTACACGGTGGATACGGGACTCGATGAGAATGAGGCGGAACTTGGAGTCGCGGTCCTTGCGGTTGGTCTGAAGGTGCTTGCGGACGGCAACGGCCTTCTTGATCAACATGTAGAGGTCCTCTGGGATATCGGGGCTGAGGCCTTGAAGCGCAAAATGTTAGCCTAGACCAACAGATGCAGTTTTGTATAGCGCGCAGATGCTCGCGAGGAGCAGAGCTGTGTCGACATGCGCTTTCATGTGTATAGGGCAATCGTACCGTTCGACTTGAGGATTCGGAGGATCTTGTTGCCGGTGACAACCTTGACCTGAGCGACACCGTGCGAGTCACGGAGGATCTCACCAATCCTGCGATTGTGTTAGTCGACCGATTCTTCGTATCTTCCTTTCCATGCAATTGTCTTACTGAGATGGTGTAGCACCCTTCTTCGCGAGCTTGCAGATCTGGTCGACAACCTGCTCGGGGGTGGTCTTCAACCACGCCGGGGGGCTGCGGGAGTAGGGGATTGCGGAGGCTGATATGCCCTTTCCGTTGCTGTGAAGACGACCCATTTTGAATGAATGTTCCGGATGGCGACCTGGTCGATTAGTACGGAGACGTGTTGGTGGGCTTGGAGTCGTGGGTTGAAGTTCGCGATCGAAGACTCCAATTTCTCGCGGCTCGGCTAGGTCTGTGGTGGACCGTGCGCGGGCTAGCGTCAAAGCTCCTGCCTGACAAAAAGTCTGCGACGACCAACCTCGTCTTCAGCACCTCACAATGTCAAAACATTGACTTCGGCGTACAACCGCGACTGTCTCCAGCTATGTTGAAGCTAGACACTCGCGCCTTACAACGCGCTTGATACAGCTTTTGAATTACTCACTATGTAGCCAGCTACAACAGCTCACTTTCAAGGTACGTTCAACCTAATCCCGCCCTCCCATCACAATGATGAGATCCAGTGCATTCGACGCCTCTTATTTTAGGCGGGGTTCTTCGGAACTTCGCCGGTGCATAAATCTCTATTCTGACAAGTGTTATCTCTGCTTTACTGCATGAAATCTTGCGAGCGACCAATGCTAACATTGTTAGAACTAGATGAACAGATCACGTCTACTTGCGCTTTCTCCCTTATCTACTCCTAGGTATGTACTTTCGCCGTTCTCTTCATCGCACAATGATGACAACCCATACTTTTGGCACCTCTTATTTTAGGCACACCCGTAAGGGCGTTGCCAGTGCATTCAACTTATACTCTGACATGCGATCTTATCAACTTCTTTGTTACATGACACGCTGCTAGCTACATGGACTAACAAGAACCAGTTTTGAATCAGTTCAGCTTCATGTTGTCGCCTTGAGCGTCGTTCGGTTCGCACTTTCTTGCTGAAGCACACGTATGCGGTTTCCCGTACACAGCTCGTAGCTTCTGCATGCTGGATGTCGTCACGCCGTAGTTATATATCAATCACAATGCATCCTGTGTTAGCTCATCACCACCTCACCTCACACGCAACGTTTTCTTTCACCCCCATAAGCATCCTGCGACCCATTGCTCATACAATAGCCTCTTTCAATTATTCAGCATGAAGCATACAATACTAAGCGCAGTCATCCTCCTCCCCCTCGCCTACAGCAGAACCGCCAAAGAGCTATGTCGCGGTACCGCTGAACTATCCTCCGATGGCAACTGGTACTGCTCCGAGGTCTGGGCCATTACCTACCGCAACATCAGCCAGCCTGGTGCCTACAATCGGACCACTACAGTCGATCCAAAGACTGGTCTCTGTGGTCATGAACGTGTCGACTATCCTAGCGCAGGACCACTGACACCATTGTTCGGACAGGTATGGTTTGACTCGGGCTCGAGTTGTTGCATCGTTGACAGGATCAGGTGTCGATGCACCTTCGCGGGCCGATGAACGTCTCTCAACTCGCCGTATATCAACTACCTGGTGACGCGCGCGCTATGGATAAGCGAACTACAGTACCTTTCTACAACCGTCGGCGATCGTTGGAGCAGGCAGAGACACCAGTGGCTGCGAACACTACTACTATGCCGACACAGTCGACGTTTTCTGGTCGGTTCAACCTTTCCAACAGGGATGCATGCACCACATCATCCAGCTGCATCCCGACGACAGTGACACATACGGTGACCGTAAAGGCGGCCTGTTCCCCGACTGATATTACACAGTCTGGACCAAACACAACCTACATAGGTCCCCCACTCCCGTGCTTACCGACGTCTCGTGCTCTATCGATCTCTGGCTCTACACCTCCAGAGCCGAACTGTACCTGCATTGAAGACGAAAATCCCGAACCCATCTTCCAGCGACCCAATGGGCAGGTTTACGTCAGTCCGACGCCGACACTGAAGCATGCACCGGGGACATCATCGACACAGGACACCTTACCAGTGTCACAGCATCCAGATGGACAGCCTTTCGAGGTCCCCTCACCTTCATCATCATCACCGCAAGACACCCTACCAGTGTCCCAGCATCCAGACGGACAGCTCTTCGATTCCCCTTCGCCCTCACCGTCATCAACACAAGACATATTACCGGTTTCGCAGCTTCCAGACGGACAACCTGTCCAGTTCCCCTCGCCCTCGCCATCATCAATGCAAGGCATATTGACAGTATCCCAGCGCCCAGATGGACAGCCTATCGTACCCTCGCCTTCACCATCATCACCACAAGAGACGTTACCAGTATCGCAGCGACCAGATGGACAGCCTTTTCAAGTCCCTTCGCCCTCACCGTCACCTCCACAAGACCCATTACCAGTATCACAGCGTCCAGATGGACAGCCTTTTGACATGCCTTCGCCCTCGCCATCGCCCATTTCGAAGAGGCAGGGTTCAGATTGGAAGCGGATAGCATACTACACGTCTACATCACCGGCTCAAGCCACCGGGCTGAGCTTCGTGGCTAACCTGGGTGATCCCCAAAAGTCTGGTACTTTTGACTAGTGAGTATTTCCTCATCCCATGGATTTCGAAGCTGACATGTCCAGTGCATTCGGAAACTCGCTCAGCTACGTCACTCCCCGTGGTGACGAAGTAGCAGCTGAGAGTCAGCCGTTCGAAGGCACGTTGAAGACGTCTGAGAACGAGATTGTGGTCCTTTCCGATAAAGAGTGTGACACAGACTGTCCATACTGGAGACCAGACGCGACATCTCACTACGGCTGGTCAGGCTCCTCGAAAGCCTTCTTCATTGAATTCCAAATGGATCACTACGATAATGTAGGCACAGACCAAGGCCTTCTTTCTGACGCCCCGGCCTACTGGTTCCTCAATGCAGCCATACCTCGCATCCTCCAGTACGGCAACGACCGCAACAACGTTCCCTGCTCATGCTGGTCAACCGGCTGTGGCGAGTTCGACGCATTCGAGCTTCTCAGCAAAGGCGCCGAACGCGCAAAGTCGACGATACATCGGCAGGGCAATCTGGAGGGTGGTGACTCCAACTACTTCAGCAGACCAGTGGGGAAGAAGATGAAGTTTGCGGTTGTGTGGCATTATCCGCATATTACGGCATTGGTGTTGGACGACGACTTTGACTTTTCAGAGAGCATGTCAAATGATGCGATTCAAAAGTTGGTGGCATACGATCCGGATAGCTGGGTGCATTCTCTGTATGCTATTGGGGACTGAGATAGGCTTCTCTTGACTGGACGAACTGAGATATTCATGTGAAGACACCTTACATGTAGCCACACACCTAGCAGTGCAATCGAATTGGTCTTGGAACACACAAGATAATCATTTCTTAGGTTCTGACGCGTGAGACGTGCGACCGAGGCAGGATCATAAGCAATGCAATAATCATCTGAAGACGGACATGGGCGATGCAGCGGAGTGGGCCGGCGATTGTGGTGGTGGCAAGCTGACGGATAGGCCTGCCCAAGCGGGCACGAGAAACCGAGGTCTGTTCGCGCCTCAGCGTCCGTGAACGACGACCAGCCGCATCCTGGCCGACGACACTGCGCATCTACTCATTGCCTCCATTACCGTCTACACCCAACGTCGCGTCTTCGCATCTAATACATCGCCCAACTTGCTGCTCACGTGCAGCCACTGTCGACGCGGATCCGCCCCTTGAGCGATTGCCAGTCTCGGCCGGCGCAGTTTCCCCGCAAAAACTCGCTGCCCCGATCGCCGCGAATTGCCAGCCTCTCGACGTTTGCTGACGACATCCGCCATCGTCTCTGCAAAGTCACTTTCTGCACTGCGCACATAGCGCGGAGGAGGCACACACGGAAACATGTCTGCACCATCGCCGCCAAAGCCCTGGGAGACGAGCAACGGCGCGACGAGTGCCTCGGTTGGTGAGTCCGCCAGCCATCCGATACGTCAGGGAGACCGCGACTAACAACAACACAGGCCTCACTGGATCGAATAGCAGCACAGCACCCACCTCGACAGCCACATCCTCGAGTGCGCCTCCACTACCATCCGTACCAGACTCGCTCAGCACCGTCGCGAACCGCAACGCGTCCAACTACTCGGGCATGAACAACCGATACGGCTCCCCCTACAGCAGCGGATATGGGGGGATGGGCAGCTACAGCTCGCCCTACTCCAGCATGGGCGGCGGTTACGGCTCCATGTACGGTGGAATGGGCGGTATGGGTGGCATGTACGGCGGCATGGGAGGTATGGGCATGGGCATGGGCGGAATGTACGGCGGTATGGGAGGCATGCCAGGCGACCCAAACAGCAGCCTCACGCAATCATTCAGCCAGAGCACAGCAGCGACCTTTCAGCTGATTGAGAACATTGTCGGTGCATTCGGCGGCTTTGCACAGATGCTTCAGAGCACATACATGGCGACACATTCGTCATTCTTCGGTACGTCCGCCCCTTTCCAGCTTTCAAGAATATGCTAACCCCAACAGCCATGGTATCCGTGGCAGAGCAGTTCGGAAACCTACGACAGACACTTGGCTCGGTATTGGGCATCTACACAATAATGCGATGGATACGGACGGCAATCGCAAAGCTCACCGGGCGACCCCTACCAGCAGATGCGACCGCCCTCACCCCCGCGAGTTTCGCAGCCTTCAACGGACGTATGCCCGACGGCTCGCCAGCCCCCGCAAAGCCTTCTAAGAAGCCATTCATCGTTTTCATGCTCGCAGTCTTCGGTCTTCCCTACCTAATGGGCAAGCTCATCAAGGCGCTTGCGAGATCACAAGAAGCTCAAGAACAACAGAAGATGCTCGAGAACCCACAAGCAGGACAGCCGCTCGACCCGAACAAGCTCGAATTCTGCCGCGCGCTGTACGACTTCACACCCAACGCCAACATGCAGGGAATGGACTTGTCAGTGAAGAAGGGAGACATGGTTGCTGTGCTCAGCAAGAGTGATCCCATGGGCAACGCATCAGAATGGTGGAAGTGCAGGTCAAGAGATGGACGCATGGGCTACCTCCCCGGCATCTACCTCGAGACAATTCAGCGCAAGACACCCGCACAGATTACTAGTGGAAGCCAGGCCGGAAGCCCAGCTGGTAGCAGAACACAGACAATGACAAACAGCAGCGCCGCGAGTAGGACTGCCACCATGACCGGAGCAGCCCCAGTACCAGAGAAGGTTGGCCCGAAGGTGGACAGCAAGGCGGGCGATATGGGTGTTGAGAGTTTCCAGAAGGGCGCCTTTTACTCGTAGGCTTCGAGTGACGTTCTTGAGCGTATTCTTCTTGGTTCTACAGCGCGTTTTCCGTAATGATTTTCTTTGCAGTGTCGTCTGCAGGTGTGTATAACTTGGCTAGGAAAAGCTACGGTATGGCGTATGGCGCGAGAGATATCACGGGTCAATCAAATACTATTTGGAATATTCAACAAATTATCCATTACCAGCAGTGGCGCCGATTTGTGTTGCTACATACACAGTCTTAGATGTTGATTGCCAGGATCTAATGCAATAGATACTTCTACGTCAATGATGATTTTCGGGGACGCGATATACACTACAGATATCTCTAGAGCTATCCAGGATTGAAGAGCATCATTGGTGAATTATGAGAATACCCAGATGGTTCACAGCAAGACGTACCTTGATAGCCGTGTTCCGCCCTGGCGCGCGCCGCGTGAACCAACCTTCGCAACAAAGCCGAGCACCGAGACATCAGGCAGCGACCGCGCAGACAATTCACACATCATATTACCTTTACCTCGTGCCTTCCAGCCTCTTCCCTGTCGTTCACTCCAATTCTACGATCGAACTTTCCGGCCGCTTCTTGACCCTAGGCTGCTACCTGATACGCGCGCGGTTGCCCCTCCCCCACACGTTGTCCATTCCACCTGCAGGGTCGCAGCTTGTACATGAGCTTGTGAGCTGTTCAGCTACATCGGAACGAAGCTACGATACACGTACTCTATTTTGAGTCCGCCCAGGATACATCATTAGCCACATATACCTACGCGTACACCCCAGGTTGAGAGGCGCGCCGCTGCTGCACATCTCGAGATGTTCGCGTCGAAACGGTTAGGCAAGGTATGTTGTCATGGTCTTGAGCTCTGGGATGGAGCTTGAATGCTATGTGATGTTTATAGGAGCTAGAAGCTAACGTGTATGACAGGAGCTCGCAAAGGTACCGTAATCCTCTCGTTCATTGTTCGTTGCCCGTCGAAGCACATTGTCACCCGTCAGACGCCTATAAACTCCACGTGTCGACGCGCGGAAGCCTACACACACAACATGGCCACGATGTGAAGGCAACGAATTTGGAAATTCACATACGAAGGAACAGGGTCGCTAACACAAGGGCATATAGATGCACGACAAACTCCCGCCAGGCATAACTCTCATTAAGGCTGACGACTTCCAAACCTGGCTCATGGACATTCAAGTTATGGACTCGAATCCGTTGTACGAGGGTGAGACGTATCGGTTGAAGTTTAGCTTTACACCGCAGTATCCCATTGAGGTACGTCCTCCCTTTCTATACTAACTGCTTACTACCCAGCATCCTACCCTCCCATTCCTGCGCCCACCCAATATCTGCACCCTCCCCCAAACCAAACCTCGCTAACCACTCTCTTCCAGGCTCCCGAAGTCATCTTCCTCCGCGACGAAACCCATCCCATACCTTGGCACCCACACATCTACTCCAACGGCATCATCTGTCTCGACCTGCTTGACCGCTCCGGCTGGTCCCCCGTCCACAACGTCGAAAGCGTGTGTGTCAGTCTTCAGAGTATGCTGACGAGCAATACGAAGAAGGAGAGGCCACAGGGAGATGAGAACTTTGTCAGGTATAACACTCAGCGGCCGAGGGATATTAACTTTGTCTTTCATGATGAGACGGTCTGAGTGGTATGGAGGGAATGGGGTGCATTTTTGGAAAAGAGGGATTAGACGGGCTAAAGCATGGAATTGGTGTTTAGGGCGTTCATGGTATGGCCAAAGGGAGGGGACATGGGAATGGATATGACGTTACGGCAGGTCTCATGACTATCGAATATGGAAAGCGATATTCTGTATGCAGCCTTGACTTCTCCTTCAACTTGTGGAAGTCGCTCGCTATTGAGAGACATACTGTCGCCTTCGATGCTACTCCTACCAAGCAGTACGGTGTATCATTGTCAGAAGTTCTCAACCAGGAATGGGGCCAGCTTGTACCCTGAGCTTCTACAAATACAGCTTCTCGGCTATGTTGTAAAATCTATAACTTTGTCCAGCTTGCCGCCTACATGATGTCCTCAAACCGACCTACTCACCATTTTCAGACCATTGGTTTTCACTACACTTTTTTCCGACTTAGAATCGTTGATCCGGTCACCCATACTGACCCAATCGTAGAGAAGTACTCAAGACACCGGAAAGAAGACGCCACCCCGGATGTCAAGGCATCTCAGAAGACCGCGAACGTAAATCCCTATCCCAAGACCTACGCCAACCGACAAAAGGCTATCACTGACAAGACCTTCCACTGCGCGATATGCAATGTCTCTTATGGTGATCAGGCCGAGTTCGAGATCCATATCGCAACCCGAAGGCACAAAAGGTGGACGAAGGAGGAAGGAAAGGGCGGATACCACTGCGCACCTCGCAACGAGAACTTCAGATACCCTTCTGACCTCAAGAAACACTCAGGAAGACAGTGCTATAAGAACGCGGCTGGACTATGGATAGTGATGAACACTTCCATCCGATGAAAAGGACTGGGAGAAAACATCTACGGCTGCATACGAAAGAATAGACTTACATTGCGATTATATACCTTGTTACTCAACCGCGTTGTGCTCGCATTACTGCATCGGCAAGTTCAATAAAGCAAGCGAGTGATAGCCAGGGAAGAGTTATGGAAAGGGAGTGGCAGGAACATGGATGTGGTGTTATGGCTTATTCTGTAATTGACATGTACATATAGCAGTATCTGTTAGACGACTGAGATTTGATGAATTGAGTTATCACATATTTTCAATCTACACATGTCTTACGCACAGGTGCTAAGTCATGACAATGGCAAACTCAGCTCTCTGACTGCACGCTCTCAGATTTGAGCCAGATAACGCGGTCCTACCACTCTTCTTCCTCGTCAATCACAACCTTCTTGACATACCAGTGATGTTTCAACATGCCCGTTGTTCTCAAGCCAGCCAACTGCTGCGACACGTTGTCTCCAACTTCCGTCGGGGTGCTAGAGGTCGTTATGTTGAACTCCGCCTCGCCGTGTTTACATCCGTTGTTGTCAGTCCATTCTCTCTCATCCTTCCAGTAGCTACCATACCTACGCTTCATAGCTTCGCATGCTGCCCAAGCGCCATGTGCTGTGCCCAATATGTTTGTTTCGACGATACGGTTGCCACATTCGTCGATGGCCAGGTAGACAGTGGTGGCAGGAGTTGTAGACTTACGAAATATGTTGCTCATCTGTGGGACGACTTTTATGTTGTGATCGTTGCCGGCAAATTTCTTAATCCAGAGCTCAGAGTCATCATGTATTCGTACGTAACGTGGTGCGATCTTTTTGACAAAGGTGACAAATAATGCACTAATGGATAAGACGCCGAGGACGCGGGGGGTGAATGTGGCGGAGAATTTGCCTTCGCTGCTGATGATGTAGTAGGGTCGGGCGCGAGGCATCGTGGTTTGTGGTAGTTGGTGCGATGGTAGCATGGGATCTCTGGGACTAGGAGAGTAGATATAGAAAAGTGGTTGGAAAGACCTTGAAAGAAAGAGATCGGAAAGTATCAAACTGGGTGTTTCAAACATCAGTTTGACGGCTCCAGGCGTATCCATAGGTAGAAGTGTGAAGCTGGCCATGGACATAATCTATCGCGAAGATCGTCGTGGTCTTTGTTCCGGAACCCATGGACATGAGAAGAAGGGCAACAATTTGGTCCATTCATGAAGACGGCGTCTCAAGTAAGCAATCCAGTCCACTACGCTGGCATAGTACTGTGATACTCAACACTCCAAAAGTTTCTGAGATCATATTGCTAGACGCATACCGGGTAAGCTCCCTAAGCTGGGGCAAATGTAAGCCACGACGAAGATAGCCAGAGTTTTGGATCTTGAGGCCATTGATTTGACTTGCTGGGGCAACGAGATGACCCCACCTTGAGACTGGCTCGTCGGGGACAGTCTGCTAGTTTATTACCGTACCACTCAACGCTCCAAAGTATTTCGAGATGGTAGTGTCGGGCGTGTACCGGCATGGGCTTGCAAGACCGAGGACGATATAGGCAGGTATTGTCTCAAAACTTCCAACCCACTCACGCCAGCCTAGGAAAAAACTGAACAGCCTGGAGCCTACGTTGACGTTAGGTCACCTACTTTGCAAGGTTTTAGGTCAATGTAGTCCGCAGGCCTGTTCATTTTTTTCTTGTATAAGGTGCACTAGCTGTCAAAGCTTGGCTGCGGGGCACCTTCTCTCAATGTCACGGTCCGGACTCTTTTCTTTCTCAGCGGGCCGAGGCTTGAAGGTATATTGATGTTGGATGGGTGGTTTTTCATTGAGTATCGATAAGCGCCGCGCCAGGTTAACCGAGTCTGCCTAGCGTCATTCGCCGACACTACGAGAGATCCCTGCCAGGCCAATTTTTCTCTGATCGCTCGCCTTTAAGCAAGCGCGAAAAAGATTCCCAACCCTCTTTTCCACCTTCTCTCCAACACCTTCCTGCTCTTCAATTTTTCAGGTTGTTCCTTATACACATACCGCAATCATGAGCGACGAAGTCTACGAGGGTGCCATCGGCATCGATCTTGGTGCGTAATATTCGCGAATTACCCCACAGTGGGATACGTGTGTGCTAACAATATCGCAGGCACCACCTACTCTTGCGTTGCCAACTACGAGGGCACCAATGTCGAGATCAGTATGCGCCCGCCACTCCTGCTATCAGAGACCATTGTCTAACAATGTTTGCCCACAGTCGCCAACGAGCAGGGTAGCTTCACCACCCCCTCGTTCGTGTCCTTCACCAGCGAGGAGCGTCTCATTGGTGAGGCGGCCAAGAACCAGGCTGCTATGAACCCCGAGAACACCGTCTTCGATGTCAAGTGAGTTCTGCCGTTCAATCGTCGCACGCGCACGATCAGCCGACTGACTTTCGCAGGCGTCTCATTGGTCGCCGATTTGAGGACGAGACCGTCACAAAGGACATCAAGTCATGGCCATTCAAGGTCGTTGACCAGGGCGGCAGCCCTCTCGTCGAGGTTGAGTACCTCGGCGAGACCAAGCAGTTCTCTCCCCAGGAGATCTCTGCCATGGTTCTCGTCAAGGTAAGATCTGCGCACACACCAACATGGCGGGGCAATGGCTAACAAAATCAACAGATGAAGGAGGTCGCTGAGACCAAGCTCGGAAAGAAGGTCGAGAAGGCCGTCATCACCGTTCCCGCCTACTTCAACGACAACCAGCGTCAAGCCACCAAGGACGCCGGTGCCATTGCTGGCCTCAACGTTCTCCGTATCATCAACGAGCCTACCGCCGCCGCTATCGCTTACGGTCTCGGTTCCGGAAAGTCTGACAAGGAGAGGAACGTCCTCATCTACGATCTTGGTGGTGGTACTTTCGATGTGTCTCTTCTGCACATCCAGGGTGGTGTCTTCACCGTCAAGGCTACCGCCGGTGACACACATTTGGGTAAGTTCTGGCTGCACAAAGCGCACGCACATCATACAAGAAAAACCCGAACAGGCCTGCAGCCTACATCGACGTTAGGTCACCTACTTTGCATGTTTCCATGTTGATGTAGGCTGCAAACCTGTTCATTTTTTTCCTAGGTGGACGTGCACGTGAGACGTATACTGACTTCGTTGCAGGTGGACAGGACTTCGACACTAACCTCCTTGACCACTTCAAGAAGGAGTTCACAAAGAAGACGAAGAAGGACATCAGCGGTGACGCCCGTGCCCTCCGTCGTCTCCGGACTGCTTGCGAGCGTGCCAAGCGTACCCTCTCCAACGCCACCCAGACCACTGTTGAGATCGACTCGCTGTTCGACGGTGAGGACTTCAACGCCAACATCACCCGTGCTCGTTTCGAGGACTTGAACCAGAAGGCCTTCGCTGGCACTCTGGACCCCGTTGCCCAGGTTCTCAAGGACGCCAGCATCGCCAAGGACAAGGTTGACGAGATCGTCCTTGTTGGTGGTTCCACCCGTATCCCCAAGATCCAGAAGCTCCTCAGCGACTACTTCAACGGCAAGAAGCTCGAGAAGAGCATCAACCCCGATGAGGCCGTTGCCTACGGTGCCGCCGTCCAGGCTGGTATCCTCTCCGGAAAGGCCACCTCCGCCGAGACTGCCGACCTCCTCCTCCTCGATGTCGTTCCCCTCTCCCTTGGTGTAGCCATGGAGGGTAACATCTTCGCCCCCGTTGTTCCCCGCGGTCAGACCGTCCCTGTACGTATCGCTATCGCCAGATGACTTTGCATTCGCTGACTTTTGCACCCAGACCATCAAGAAGAGGACCTTCACCACCGTCGCAGGTAATTCACACCCATCACCACCTCTGGTGACCCTTTTCTGTGAGCCATGCTAACTTCCGAAACGACAACCAACAAACAGTTCAGTTTCCCGTTTTCCAGGGTGAGCGTGTCAACTGCGAGGACAACACCTCTCTCGGAGAGTTCACCCTCGCACCTATTCCTCCCATGGTGAGAAAATTCCGTCTCCAAACCTTCCAGCATCATTGCTAACTTCTCTCCAGCGCGCTGGTGAGGCCGTCCTTGAGGTCGTCTTCGAGGTCGACGTCAACGGTATCCTGAAGGTCACCGCTACCGAGAAGACCTCCGGCCGCAGCGCCAACATCACCATCTCCAACGCTGTCGGAAAGCTCTCGTCTGCCGACATCGAGAACATGATCAACGACGCCCAGAAGTTCAAGTCCTCCGACGAGGCCTTCAGCAAGAAGTTCGAGTCGAGGCAACAGCTTGAGTCCTACATCTCCCGCGTTGAGGAGATGATCTCCGACCCCACCACATCCATCCGCCTCAAGCGCGGCCAGAAGGAGAAGATCGAGTCTGCTCTCTCTGACGCCATGGCTCAGCTCGAGGTTGAGGATGCCCCCGCTGATGACCTGAAGAAGAAGGAGCTTGCGCTCAAGCGCACTGTCACCAAGGCTTTCTCCACCCGATAAGCGCATCACATGACGGCAGCGCCACAAGGGCGTGCAGGAAGGAAGGAAGGGCGCACGTGCAGGATACCCAGACTGCGAGCTGCGAACGGAGTTTCATCTATTGCGGCATTTAACGATAGACTTGGTGTGTTTGGTTCCTTATCTTTCATGGGTTCCCGGTATTCAGGAACGCGGAAAAGTCTTCTTTGTACTTTCACGACGATGCCTGACGAAACGATCGTAATGGATGTTCTGCAAAAGTATGCCAGCGGTCAATGTCTCTTATGTAACTCACGAGGTAGCTACATGAAGAGAGTGGAAAGGAAATTGAAATGACTTCACTGAATGTATCTTCTCCGTGCTGCCTGATGTGACGGCTACGTTGTTATGTTTGCCACCGATGGCCTTTGCGATGAGTAGCGAATACCTCCTGGCTCCGTCCTCATTCTATACTATCATCCACTTCTAACACACTCTGAATCACATCAGACACCATCATATTGAGCTCCTATGTCGCTGCAGCTTCCAATGAGTACCTCCAGGCTACATCATGATCGGCATCTGGACGAGATGATGAGCTCATGTATTCGGTAACTTCGCTAGCGCCCTTGGCTGTGGTTCGTACAGCCATAGAAATGAGGAGACACTGTTCTTAGAGAAATGATTTCATTAGGAGAGTCTACATCGACGTATGTGCGCTATCACGACTACGACAGTCACCACTTCAAGCCTTGAACCTCTGCTTCTCAATCGCACTCCCCACCAACCCCTCCCCCTTAACCACATTCGTCGCACAAACCACAATCCTGCTGCCCCTCCCCTCCCCACCACTCTCCTTCAACTTCTCGCCCACGAACCTCAGCGCCGCAATCTCAGCTCTAGTCACGCCCCCAAGGAAGAAAACAACAATAGTCTTGTTCTTCTCACCTGCACTCCCATTCAACAGCTGTCGCGCCTTGACGGCCTTTTCCTCGCCCTTTTGCGTCTCATCGAATGTGGCGCCGCGAATGTATTTGCTCGCGTCGTCGAAGATGCGGAGGCCTTGGGCGAGGGGGTTGGCTTGGGCGCTTGCGCGGGGGTCGGAGGGTGGTTTGATGGCGTTGGCGAGGGTGTGTTTCTGGATGATGGACTGGATGATGCGAACGCTGAGGGGTGCATAGCCGGAAAAGGTGTAGCTGATGTCGTTGGGGCTTGCTTCGTTGACGTCGTCGTCCCAAAGCTTGAGACTCTTGCGCAAAGGTGTGTAGTTTGTCACGCTGCCGGGTTTGGCGGGCGCGCCTACGCCACCAAGACTTACGCCGCCTCGTGGGCCCAGTAGACCCATCTTCTCGAGTGAGGCGAGAGTCAGGATGTGTTGCGGACCATATGCTTGGATGATGGCGCGCTTGAAGGCCTCCAGATCTTTCGGGCGGATGCCAGCGTTGGTGGTGGACTCCAAGCAGAGCAAGCGAAGAATGGCGGGGAGCGGTACATCGCGGTTGATGAGCTCGTTTATGAGATCGTGCTGTGTTGTTGGGTCGGCGCCGGACATGATGTTCTGCTGCACTTCCAGGCTTCGCGTGAAGATGTCGGTGCGCGTGAACTTGATGATCTCCTCAGCCAAACTGGTGTGCAGCTTCAAGCTTGCTTGCTCGGCCTGGTAGCCCGGGAGCTTGGCTACAAAGTCACGGAGCTCTGATGTCGTCTTGGTGGCAAGTTGGTCGCGCCCTGTGCTGCTCTGCAGACGACGGGCTGCTTGATTAAGCAGATTACCGACGATGGCAAAGTTCGCATCGCCCAGATCAGCGTATAAAGCATCTTTCGAATCAATCATGATCTTGCGCTTCATACTCGTCGATGCTGATCCAGTCTGGCCTTGCTGCGGCTGCGCGCCACCCGCTATGGAAGAGTCGACTTCGGTCTGGTTGGCAGTGATGTTGAAGACCTCGTCGATGAGCCCTTCGTACGTCAACTGAGTCAGTAGTACCGTAGGGAAGTCGACTTCCCGATCAACAATGATGAGGCTGTCAATGTTGGAGCTAGGTGCTAAGCCCAGGAATGACGGTCCGCCGCCGGCAGAGGTCTCACCAGCCGTGACTTCGGTACGCATACGGATGAGTAGGTCGGCAAGTCGTTTCCCATTATCACCTTTCCCGATGATACGCGGGAAGAGACCATACTTCTGTTGCTGAAGCATGAGTGCTTTGGCCGACAAGTAGATCGCGGTAGGATCCTTCTTCTACGCAAGATTAGTATGAAATCCGCACCAGATCCAGGACGCACATACGAGATAAAGATCTGACACAGCATCTTCAAGTTCAAGCGATAGCACATCATCTGCAAGCGGCACGAAGAATAGCGGCCATTCGCTCACGCTAGCTTCACCCAAGACACCCGCCTCTTCAAGCAGTTGATCCGAGGTCATAGTACGACGCGGCACCCAGAAGATGGAGAATTCATGTTCAATTTGGCTGTCTCGCCGAATACGTTTGATTTGATCTATCTAGTATGTTAGCACCGTACAATAGACTGCTCCTACATGGAGATGAAGGGCAATCCAAAAAAAGTGCTATGTTCAATCTAGGGATCAAGACTGGCTAGGCAGAGTGGGTACTGTCTGTCTAGCCTACTTTTTGACCCAAAGCTCCAAATGCCATGAGGCAGATGGGGGAAAGGAAGCCGAGGAAGCTTCACTTACCAGCAACAGCCATCACAGTCTTCGCTTTCTCGCCTCTAACGAGGAAGACGATGTTGCGCTGAGAAGAATCGACATTGTCGTTCTCAAGGAAGAAGGGCTTGTCGACGCCATATTCCTGGAGCGTAGAAAACTTGACGAGCAAGTTCAGCGGGCCTGCGAGAGATTTCTCTAGCACGAGGTTCTTCTTTCCTCTGATCTGTCCGCACGCGTTAGATGGTGCAGAGGTCTGCGACATTGACATTACCTTACACCCTCGAGCAGAAGCAGCAGCTCCCGGCGCGCTTTTTCAGTTATATCCGCCGCATTGAGAGGTGTGATGGGCGCCATCTTCGCCGCTGTATCATGAATTACAGCTATTACGAATGAGCCTCAGATGCATGACTACATGCAGTCGCCCTTGTGATGTGAAGGTCGATAGAGAGTGAGAACGAGGTGGTTGGATTTTCGGCTCTTAAGCTTTGGACCCAAGGCACGTGCACGACAGACTCTTGGCATAATTGTGGATATACGACCAACAGATGCGCGTGATGATCTTCACTTGGATATTATTATATCAAGATTGACTGTGTCTAGGTACTAGAGCTAGGTCTTGGAATCTTTCATTTGTTCATGCAGGATCAAAGTTCATGTATCATTGTAGCTACCTCGGCTCACTTCTCAAAGACGGTGCATCTATCTATAACACAGGGGTATACATCTAACCAACAAAACATACGGAGGCTGAAGGTCCAGAGTTCTCTCCTCTTCATGCTACATATGAATGACCACTTTCCTATAACGCACCCAGAGCCCGCAACGCAGTGCGTAGCTCCTTCACAGCAGTATCTGCATCTTCAAAGTTCATCGCGGAAATGGCCCACTTCGCATGCTTTGTAGCTTCCATGATAGAGTCCTCATCATTCCTGAAAGGGCCCTGTGATGATTGCTGGGGAGGGGGTTGAGATTGAGCGTATGGATTCTGGTGGGGCGTTGACTGGTACTGCGGCTGAGCAGGCTGGGAGAATCCGCCTTGTTGGTACTGTTGTTGAGGCGGCTGTGGCGAAGGCGAAGCAAACTGATGTTGCTGTGGGGGCGCTCCAAAGCTGGAAGATAATCTTTGCGGCTTTTGCGGAACTTGCGGTGGCGTTGGAGATTGGTATGGGTTTTGAGGTGGTGGCTGCTGAAGAGCCTGAGCAGGCGCAGGAGACGCCGGGTTTTGATAGAAGCTTGCAGGGTCTGATGGTTCCGGAGCTTGCGATGGCTGAGGGCTTGTGGGCATAGAAGACGTCATGGGGTCTATGTCCATTGGCGCAGTTGGTAGACCTGGTGCTGTCGTCTCTGCTGTGAATGTAGGAGGATCAGGAGCGTCTGTCCTCGGGAAGTATCCGCCACCGATCGAGACGACAGAGCCCTGCCTCGAGGTGTTGGGTTGTGATATTGGAGATACATCGTTGTGCGATGACTGAGTGTATCCAGTAGGCGCAGAAGGGAGGTTGGGAGGCGGTGGTGATACTTGGCGTGCAGAGAAGTTGGGCGACGGTTGGGTCGAGGTATTCGGTGCCGTCTCTACAGATGGTTGGTAGGGTTTCTGAGGCGGTGCGCCCTGGTTTATCCGCTGGACTTCTGGGTCGTTTGGATCTAATGCAGATGGCGACATGGGCTGCTGCGGTGTTTCCTGTACGGGGTTCGTCGCATTGGGGTCTTCGTTGGCCTTGATGGCTTTGACGATGCGTAGCGCGTGGTATTTGGCGAACTTGGTTTTGGATGTGATCTCTGGATCGTTGTTCTTCCATATCGACATGATCTCGAGGAAAGTAGACGCGGCGAGGAGGGTATCGGCTGTCTGCCTGGGAGGATGTTAGACCAAGCGACAACGGTAAGGCTATGTTTGTAGTGCGAACCCATTGACTCTGTTCTCGGCCATCTCCCTTTCTGCCTTTGCGAGAGTCTGTAGCGCGAACTGTTCGCAGTATGCGCTCGCGACCGTGTCATCCAGTAAGGCATCCTCGTTGGGGTTCTCGGCCTTTGCTTGCTCGAGCTTTTCCATGAGATCGGTCGTGTAAGCGGTGCATTCTTGGTCGGCCGAGTGCAGTCCTCCTGCGATAATTTTTTGGACTATGTAGAAGCGTACTGTCTAGCTTTAGTATACAATTCTCGTGTCGACGCGCGCGGTACTCACACCAGTAGGTGATGATGGGCTTGAATCGCTCGAGCTGGGCAGCGCGCTTCGCGAAAGACGCGAGCTGCAGGCTCTTGAGCTTTGCCGGTACTGTGTCGGCCATTGTTGGAGTAGGACGTGTACTAAGAAGACGCGGTGTTTAGTCTGGAGATGGATGCGTAGAGATGCAGGCAGCTAGAATGCGGTCATAGGCGCTAGTCCGGAGTCCGTACCCCTGTCTCCCCGCATCTCAGCTATGGCCATGCAACTTATGGCAAGCTGTTACAAGTGAAAGAAAAGGCCAACCTGGCAACTCCGCCATGTGAGGCTATATCAACTCTGCAGCGGCGCACCTCCTGCTGACTCTCCATTTCATCTACGCAACTCTACTTACACCGCAACCATGGTCCGCGCAACCACGCTGTTCGCCGCCACGGCCGCGCTGGCCCTCAATGCCCACGCCGAGAGCATCTACGGTAAGAACAGCGCCGTCGTCCAGATCTCTGGCATGGACTACGACCGAGTAATCGCAAAGTCCAACTACACTTCTGTATGTATACCTCCAATCTACTAGCAAGGCCTGGCTAACGATCCCTAGATTGTCGAGTAAGCCATCTCCAATCATCGTCACGCTCCTTCCTGACACGTCCCAGATTCTACGCGCCATGGTGCGGCCACTGCAAGAACCTCAAACCGGCCTACGAGACGGCCGCCAAGTCCCTCGCCGGTATCGCCAAGGTCGCCGCTGTCAACTGCGATGAGGAAATGAACAAGCCCTTCTGCGGAAAGATGGGCGTCCAGGGTTTCCCTACCCTCAAGATCGTCCGGCCTGGCAAGAAGCCCGGAAAGCCTACCGTGGAGGACTACCAAGGGCCTCGTTCGGCCAAGGGCATCGTTGACGCCGTCAAGGACAAGGTTCCCAACGTGGTCAAGAGGGTCAACGACAAGAACCTGGACGAGTGGCTACAAGAGAACAAGGACACTGCGAAGGCTATTCTCTTCAGTGAGAAGGGTATCGTCAGTGCTACACTACGCGCCCTAGCGATTGACTTCGCTGGCATCGTCTCGGTCGCACAAGTCAAGAAGTCAGAAAAGGCAGCAGTGGAAAAGTACGGAATCACCGATTTCCCAAGCTTGATCCTTATTCCCGCCGGCTCCGAGACCCCCATCAAGCATGAGGGCAAGGTCGACAAAGCAGCCATGGTCGAATTCCTCTCCCAAGTCGCCCCACCAAACCCCGACTGCCCACCTGGCAAAGAGAAGAAGTCAAAGGCTAAGAAGGATGCCAAGAAGGAATCCAAGTCCTCTAGCAAATTTGCCAAAGCCTCAGCTTCGCACAAATCAGCAGACTCGTCGTCAGCTGCCGCGTCAGCGACGGATGAGACTGTAGAGGAGGCTGGCATGCCTACCGAATCGCCTGATCCAAATGTCAAGGACGAGAACACCCCCGATCCCATCGAGCTTCCGGTGGAAGAGACCAAGCCCGCCATTCCTCTCGTATCCGAATCTGCCGAACTGCAGACAATGTGCTTGACCGAACAGAGCAAGACCTGTATCTTAGCCATCCTTCCCAAGGACGAAGCCTCGGAAGCTGCAGCCACTGCCATCGCATCCCTTGCGTCCATCCACAAGAAGTATGACGCTTCCGGCAGCCATCTGTTCCCATTTATCGGTGTCTCGTCCACAAACCCACTTGCTGCCACCATCGTCGCAGAGCTTGGTCTCGGAAGTGCAGATAGCGTCCACCTTATCGCCACAAACGGAAAGCGCGCATGGTACAAGAAATACTCTGGCAGCTCTTTCGGAGCTGATGAAGTTGAGCAATGGGTCGACGCTATTCGCATGGGTGAAGGCAAGAAGGAGAAGATACCCGACTCCCTCCTGATTGCTGGTGAGGAGCCTGTGGCAAAAGCCGAGAAGGTAGAAGAGCAGGTCAAGATTGAGGTCGAAGAGGTTGCAGAAGACGTCTCACAAGATCCGGAGACACCTGGTCATAACGAACTTTGAGTGGGTGTTGAAGTGAGCCTATGGTTGAGGAGTTTTCATGGAAGAAGTATACAAAATCATTGATCTTTTCGCTCAGTTAAACAAGTCTGAAGGTATCCGCTATACTCTCGATTCACTTCTGAAATTTGTGAGACCTTTTCAGGATTCGTGCTGCGTACAGCGGTACCACATTGTTCGCCAGGAGATGGCATTGACCTTAGCCGTCCGGTCCAGCCTACCACACAGCCAAGCCTCAAATCGGCTATTCACAAGCCCCTGTCACATTCCACAAGAGGTACTATACGAGACGTACGCTATAGAGAACGAACTCTAACTATCGGGAGGGGAATCGAGACCGGGCGATTGCTCCTATCCATTCCTGAGGAATGTACGAATGCACGTGCCCTTGTCTTTTACCTTGCACCTACTTACTAGATTACCTGCCTGCCTCCAGCACAACTCCATCAGCAACAGATATCACTCAACCATGATCCTAACTCTTCTACTTTCGCTGAGCGCCGTGCAACGGACAACAGCATGCCAACGAGAATTGCGTAGCCTTGATCTCGGCCAGCAGTCTCAACAACTTCCTCTAGTACCTCGCCAGACAGCGCCCTTCCCACCAGTATGGAATGAGCATGAGAAGATTCTACACACATCTTTTTCAACTACTCTTATCGATACCTGGTCTTCTTACTACACCCATGGCGACCACATTGCCGGACGCAACAAATCCATGGCGGAGGAAACTGCGAAGACATGGACGGAGAATGGGGTACCTGCCTCACTTGTAAAGTATGAAGTGTTCCTCAATTACCCGAAAGAGCAGAGTCTGGTACTGAATACGGGCAATCTCACTCAACACACGGCTCAATTGTACGAAGATGCCCTACCGGAGGACGAAACGACAGGTTACCCGCAGAGCCAAGCGTTGCCAGCGTTCCATGGCTATTCTGCCTCTGGTCAAGTCGAAGCGGAGTACTTTTACGTTGGGTAAGTGGCTCATCATCCTAGTATGAACCACATTTGCTAATCTCCAATAGTCGTGGCCACAAAGACGACTTTGCTGCACTCGTTGCGGCCAACGTCAACTTGGCAGGGAAGATCGCCCTTGCAAGATATGGTGGACCGTTCCGAGGCGTCAAAGTCCGCAATGCTGAAGCACACGGCATGGTAGCAGTTGTCATGTTCAGTGATCCTGGAGATGACGGGCCGCAGGTGGCCAAGGGACAAGCTGCGTATCCCAGTACGACTTCCTTTGCTTTGGCATGTCGCGTATGAGTTCACTAACATCAAGCAGATGGTCCAGCGCGCCAACCCTCTTCCGTTCAGCGAGGATCCGTCGCGTACATCAACGAGTACCCCGGTGATCCAACAACTCCGGGATACGCGTCAAAACCCGGAGTCGAGCGTGTCAGTCACCCGCCAAATCTTCCCAAGATTCCATCTCTACCCATCTCCTACCGCGATGCGCTACCCCTTCTGAAAGCTTTGGACGGGTATGGCACATCTGGAAAGTCCGTCAAACGTGACGGGTGGATTGGCGGTTTGGCTGCAACATATAGTACTGGTCCTGCACCAGGCACTACTCTTACTCTCACAAACTTCATGGAAGACAAGATCACGCCAATATGGGACGTTGTCGGCATCATCAACGGGACGAATGCAGACGAGACTATCATTATCGGAAACCACCGAGATGCGTGGATCGTCGGCGGAGCAGCGGATCCGAACTCAGGCTCAGCTATCATGATCGAAATCACAAGGGCTTTCGGAGAGCTGCAAAACACTGGTTGGAAGCCTCGTCGAAACATGTAAGCCTACGAAGCCCTCTCGTGACACTCGAAGCTAACTCGTATCCAGCGTCTTCGCATCCTGGGACGCAGAAGAATACGCCCTAATCGGCTCAACAGAATGGGTAGAAGAACACGACCCCTGGCTCGCCGCTACAGCAATAACCTACCTCAACGTCGACATCGGCGTCGCCGGTCCCCTCCCCGGCGCAGGCGCCACCCCCGAACTTCGCACCATCGCTCAAGAAGTCATGAAAAAGGTCGTCTACGGCAAGAGGACTCTCTACGACGCATGGTACGACCTCTACCGCTTCCGCCCCGAAGATAACGGCTTTTCCAATCTGGGAAGTGGGAGCGATTACACTGCCTTTCTCCAACTGGGTATCGGTGCGCTTGACTTCGGAATGGATGCATCGAGTACGACACCGGTTTATCACTACCATAGCAATTACGACTCGTATCATTGGATGAAGAGTATGGTTGATCCAGACTTTAGTATTCACGCTACTGTGGGCCAGTTCATCACGCTGTTGGCGTATCATCTAGCCGATGATGCTCTTATCCCTTTCGATATGGATGCCTATGCCCGCAACTTCAATTACTGGATCCGCGAGCTTGTGGGAGAGACGATGGGAAGGCCGGATAGCGGTGAGCTTCAACGTCAGATCAAGCTTAACGAGCTCGCGGCTGCGGGGAGGACGTTTCAACAGGTCGCTTCCGACTTTGCGGACCGGACGGCCGAGAAGACCTTTTTGGAGGATGAGGTGAGGGTTCAGAAGGCGAATCGCATCATGCGCGATGTGCAAAGGCTGTTTGTGAGAGCAGAAGGCTTGCCAGGACGACCATTCTACAAGAACGCGTTGTATGCGCCGAATCGGGATGATGGTGAGTAAAGACGGAAACGTTGTGGATGTTGACTGACGAGACGCAGGGTACAAAGCGCAAATGCTTCCGGCGAGTATGGAAGCACTGCAAGATGGGAACTTGCCGCTGTGTCTGGAGTGGAACGTCTGGCTGACGGAGGCGATTGTCAAGGCGGCGAAGTTATTGGCCACAGTTTGAGAAGGTAGGCAAGGAAAATGGGACCTCATTGCGCCAACCTAATTAGGGTAGGGTCGTTGCTGATGTCGCAGTATCGATCATTGGGAGTAACTTTGGAACGCAGTCAGCCCGTAGCACGTGCAATATTCCATCGTCTCATGTTCCAGTAGAGTATAAATACCTCTCAATCACTCCCTTCTATCCTTCTCCTCCATTCAAAAGCCACAACTTTGTTTCTCAAAAACGCTGGCACCCGAATTCCGTGTGCTATTCGCTATTTTCCACCGAAAAGCGAAGACAAAAGCTTCATGTCTGCCCTTCTCCGAAATCATCATCAAAACCACTCATGTTCCTGGCAGACCAAAACTTCACTTTCTCCAATTCCTCGAAGCTTTCCAAAATGGCGATCAACTCAAGCGATGGTCTCCACGCCGGCATATACACATATTCCAAAATTCTTCCATCTTCTTTACATTTTCCACGGTCCACCGATCAATTATCAAAACAGCATTATACCATTGACATGGCGCGCTCCAGTTTCCAAAATCGCACGCTATACGATGATGTCTGCTCCTCGGCTCGACCACCAAAATTTCTCAAAGTCTTTGTTATGTTCCGGGTCCCTTCTTGCCGAAATACATTGACTTTTGGAAAAGTGCCGGAGAGTGCAGGAACAGCTACAAAAACAGACAAGATTTTCCCTCATGTTGTGCGTCGCTGCGGATAACGCCTATATATAAACCTCCGCCAGTTTCTCCTATACTCTTTACGCACACCGGTAATGCTTCTCTTTCTCAAAAATCGCACCCTAAAATTCGATGGTGCTCTGTCCCGAAAATGAACCGATACAACTGCATGGGCAGTTCCTTCCGCCTTTGAGTCCAAGCACTCGCCATCTTTACTGGACACCAAAAAAACCATCCGACAAGCACATGGCCTTTTGGGGGCTTCACTCAAAAACTAGGGCAAAACAATTCATGTTTCGGTCCAGAGATCTGTGCTTCGCGATATAAAGCCGCCTACTTTCGCGGCTCTCTCACTCTTCTTCTTCCTACCAAAAGCCTCTTGCTTCCAAAAATACCGTGTTCGCTCTCATGTTTGACTAAAACACTTCCGCAAACTCTTCATGACATGTGCGGCTCTCCGAGTATCAAATATGTACGATTTCACTATATGGGTGCGGCGTCGACTTCCTCCGAAAATATACCGATTCGCCCTGAATGTCTGAGAAGTCTGGCCTGCGGCTCCAAAATGAACAGAGTATTCCCTGATGATCGGAGAAGCCGCTCTCTGAGCTATCACCGTATATAAACCTTGTCTACTTCAGCCTGCTGCTTTCTTCCACAAATCGCCCAACATCTTTCACCACAAAGTAACAGAGGAAGCTTCGATGGCTCGCTCCAGAAAGACTCGAACTATCAGAACATGGTCTGTCTGAGTAGATCTCTAAAAGTCATCAGTTCATCTGACCATATTTCTGGTCGCTATGGACTACAAGCTACAAATTCCAAAATACACGACGGTTTTCCTATACTGCCGTATCATCAGACCTCGCGCGCACATCGCTATGGTCTGGTGCTCTGGCTCTTTGGTCGCGGGTTGAGGGCCAGACTTTGGCTTTCCTTCCTCTATCTTCACACAGCGATACGCCTTTCTTTAAAAGCAATGTTGATGCTAATCATGTTTCTCCGAAAACACCCAATACTACTGGATATGTTCGCTGCTGTGCGTCCTCGCCCTGGCGCTCAAAAACAATGTTCCCAAAGTATCATGAAAAGAAGAGAGTCGCTATTCTATCACGCAAAACTACTACACAGAACGCTAATGTTCCTGGGAGAGCAAAAGCAGGACAAAATCAAAGGTATGTCTGCCTTCTCGCTCGCGACTTCAAATATAAAACCAGATCCTGGCTTCTGCCAATCTTCTCATCTTACATTCGTTCCCTGCATTGTCCAAAACACGGAAAGCTCCCTTGCGATGAGAGACCCAAAAGTTGACGACGATGTGCCATGGCTGCTTCGCTGCGCAGGTGGCTTTCGGAAACAGTGTCCAAATCCCGCTATGCGCTTGGAAAAACGCTTAGTAATTATCAAAACGAGGAGGACGTTCGCATGGTTATATAAAATCAATACATGAATAAATTATGTACTTGAAGCCTGGAGTGTCCTGATTCTCATAGAACTCCCA